GAGTAGACATATGGGGCTTTCCTGTAGTCTCAAAAATGCCTTTTAAAATCAATCTGAATGGTACAGCAGACTTCTATTTCCATGAGGTTGGTAACGTATTAGTAACGGCACTTTGTTTCTGAGTCTCTTGTGTTTTTTGTACCACTCATAGTAAATGTGTACTAAGGGCCTGAGAGCCACATTGTAACCCCTGACCTCCCCCAGGGCCAGATGTGTAGTCCCTGTAGACAGTGTCTTCCCCGTGGATGGCCTCAGCAAATACTTGTAGAATAAATATGCTCAACAGTCCTTGTTGCTAAACCAGCACAAACACTGTAGAATGAGTAGGAAGAAGTCTTTTCTGTGAGCATAGAGAGATATCCTTCAATTAAAATTCTTTCTCCCGAGGTCTCTTCATTTTCAATTTAGTAAAATTGCACTGGGCTGCTAAGTATTATGTTCATTGTGCAGGCACCTAAAGGGATTAAGACATGGCCCTGTCTTCCAAGAAGCTTTAACTATGGAGGAGACAGATTGCCAGTAAGTAGAGATGCGTCCCTTGCCTCTGTTTTTGACTTCCAGCACTCCTCCTGCAATGTCTGTTCATTTTCCTTCTTTCTAATGTATCCAATCTGCCTCTGGCCTCGGTATGTGTATGGTGTCGATGGCAGATCCTCACTCGGGGATGGAAAGGCCTGCCTGATCTCTGCCCAAGGTTTCTCATGTTCAGCATTTTCTTTATTTTTGCTTTAGTAAATTTAGTTTGGTCAAATACTGTATATTTAGAAGGTGGTAAAACTATAGACTTAGTGATAATAGCTGTCGTCATAGTTAATGCTTATACAGTTTTCACTCTATAAAGGCTCTTAGGCACTCTATGTGCATTTTTTTCTTTAATTCTCACAATCACCTTATGAAGAAGGTAGAGCATTTGTACACCTCTCCAACATCCACTTTATTCCTCACCAACTGTGTGCCAAAGACAAGTACTTGGTAGAGTAAGGGTACACTGACCAAAAAATGCAGAACCCTAAGCCCCTGCCCTCATGAATTTTACGTTCTCTCATTCTCCTGAAGCCAGCTTTACCTGTGGATTCACATCCATGTGCTGAGAAATTTCACCTTGTAGCTTCTCAGTAGAGGTAGAAGGTTAGGTGCCCCTGCCAGCTGCTGTTGACAGCCAAGGTGAGGAGCCCCTTGTCCTCAGTGGGTGGGGGCATCAGTTCTGCTCTCACGTATTCTCACGATGGGGTGAGCTCAGTGCTGGGCTGACCCACTAGGTCTTCTCTGACACTGCCCCAGCGGGGAGATGGAGGGACACCCTGTCACTGACAGGTTGGGGTGGAAGTCCAGGCTCCCCCTGCGGTCCTCACTGGCACCTGGAGTGGGAGGACTCTGAGTGGCCTTGTTACAGACCCGTGTGGGGGGAAGTCCCGCCTCGCTACTTAGCTCTGAAACTACTCTGGGGAGGGTGCAGGGGCACGGCCTTACAGCTCCTCCTCAAAACTCTGTACGCTTGGCATTTGCTAACGTGGATGAAGATTGCACTGTGTTTTTTATCTGTGCTGTTTGGGTCGAGCTGCTGTTGTCTAAAAGTTTTGTCTTGTCAGACTGCTTCTTTCTTTTCTTGGCCATAAAGAGCAGGGGTTTTTTTTGGTTTGTTTGTTTGTTTGTTTGTTTTTGTCAGCACCTGTTGGTGTTTCAGAGTTGCCAGTTTCTACAGATCCAAGCTAGGAGTATATGGGGCCAAAAGAAAACCCAGAGAATTTCCTACTATATTGTTCTTCAGGATCTGAGGTCTCTACCTGGTCTGCTTTCTCCTTTCCACTTTTCAGAATCATCCTCCATTCATTTTATGTATAATGTTCAGAGTTTTTAGTTGTACTTACTGGGAGGAATAGAGGAAATATATTACTCCATTACACCAGAAGTAGAAGTTCTAGAATGCTTCTTTTAAAATGCATCTAATTTATGGATTCATGTTGACTTTAAAATGGAGTAAATATGAATATTGTAATTATGAGGATTCATATTTTGACATAAACAATTAGCATCTATAATGCAACAATAGGCACTTTTAGTACAATACACATGATCAAATTAGAGCTTCTTTTAGCTATCAAGGATGTGACAGATTGAAATCCAACATTTTATTTCAAATTGTAAATGATCACTTGTCCATGAAAAATTACTAACATCTATTTTTCCATAAGCACCATTTTGTTTTGGATGCAATTATTGCTTTTGGAATAACATTGAATATGAAACATTGAAGTAGATGTTGAGTATGAGAAGTGCTCTTCTGTTTCAAATAAACTATGATTTTAATGTCTACAGTGAAGAACACTCGTATCTGTAATAAAGGAGGGAAAAAGGCAGTGTAAAAAATATTAAGCATTTTCTCACTCTCACTTGAAATGACTAAAAATTAATTTAACAGATCATGAATTAGTACATCTTAATCAGATTTGCTCCTGAATTAAAGTGGCTACATTTTTTTAGAATAAAATATGTTTAGAAGCCATCATTTAAAAAATACTTATGTTCCTGTAAAGATTATTCTAGGAAAAGGGCCACATATACAGAAAAGAAAACAAAAATGCATTCGTTCAAGTAAAAATGGTACAAGGATTGATTTGAAATATTTCTGTTTGATACTGAAGTCAAATTTTTCTGAATCAAATGAATAGTTCTGAAATTTGGTCACAGCTTACACAGTATTTTTCTAGGATTTAAGTCAAAGAAATTAACTGTTGAGCTGAAAAAAAGATAAAAAACGTTGAATGTTGCCTTACTTTCTGGAGAATGAATAGGGAAGTTAATTTTCCTTCCATGTCTACTCAGATGAGTCATCTGTTTTTATTTTATTCTCTCTTTAGAATATGTGAGATTTTATGGCTCACTTTTAGTGTGGCTACTTATAACTCATAGTCTGCCCTGTGTTATCCTTATATGTAGTTAGATTCTGTTGTATATGCCAACCCCCCTCAAGTTAGTTTTTGATCATTCTCTTTTTTCATAAAATAAATTATTAAAATATATGTGGACATTGAGCTATGAATACTATCCAGCAATCTCCAAAACTATATACCTGATTATTTATTGAGCTACTCTTTATATTATCAATACATCAATATTAGAAAATAATAAACTCATAATTTTCAGGAATAAAACAATTTTTTGTTACTAAAACTAGTTTTCATGACAGATATTTTTTCTGTATCCTTCATTTCAGTTTAACCTGTCAGCCTACCATTTTGTGTCATTTAAAACCATAATATTAATAATCTGTAATTTTATTTTTTATGTCTAATGATGTAAACATCTTCTGATTTCTAATATTCAGTCCACAATGACTTATTATAAATATAATATTTATAATATTAAATATATATAAAAAGGCTTTTTTCCCCACTTTCCTTAAATAATGCTTCTAGAGAATAAGTGTATTTGCAGCCTGAAATTAAAGATTTGGGATTTACAAAGGATTATAGGGAGTTTGTCACTTAGATAGACTGATAGGTAATCGCATTTCATTTGATTTAAGAATCTCTAAGTCCCTAACTGAAAAGGGAACTGCAACACTCTGGACCCTGTTATCCTTGATAAACCTACAGAGCACAGAATACTAAGTATTCTTTTTCTGGGAAATAGATGATCACTTGCAGAAAATTGTTGTTGCTTCAAAATATATTTTTTTGATGCCTCTCTTTAAGAGGAAGAGAGTTAATTTCTTCTTCCTTGAGTGAGAGTTGGTGACTGACTGGCTTTTAACAAATAGAATATGATGGGGCTGATTGTGAGTGACATCTGAGAATAGATCATGAAAGGCATTCTCATTACCTTGCTTTCTTTCTGGAATCACTCTCTGTGGGAAGCCAGTTGACACGTAGGGACACTCAAGCACCCATATAGAGACAACTGTGTGGTGAGGAACCCTACCACATGTTTCTCATAAGAAGAGACTGAGCCAGAACCACCCAGCTAAACCTCTTGAAGTTGTGAGATAATTAATGCTTGTTGTTTTAAGCCACAAAGTTTTGGGTTAATTTGCCATACAGCCATAGATGACAAATACATATTTTTCCTGCCTTAAAGTTCTGTTCCTCTGGAATCACTCTTGGTACAAAATAAATTGCATCATGTTAGATAGAAGCATGACTTTGTTATCGAATGTTTTGGAAACTAAGTGGTTTAAAGAGATCTATATGGTGCCAGGTTGACAGAGGTGGATTCTGGTGGCTTTGTGATGTGTAAACTTGGCAGTGTTAGGCTATATTTTCCAGAATCCCCTTTGCTTTATGTTTCTGGTTAGGGTGAGCCACAAGAGACAATATTTCATGAGCATTGGAGGGCAAAGACGAAGGGGCAACTGTTTTGTTTTCTTACACTCAGAAGGCCAAGGCTGGCACTTTCATATCTCGCACAGTTGATTCCTTATCTGCGGGCTCCTCTCATTAGAGAGGGGCCGGAGGCAGACCTGCAACTCTCTCCTCTTCCCTGGGTCTTCCTTTAACTTCTCTGATTCCTGGGCCAAGTGCAGGTATAGGCCTATGATGATCCTAAAGATGTTGAGTGATTTGCCCAAGGTTTCACAGTAATTTTTCAGTAGAGCTAAATTTAGTCTTCTAGTCCATTCTCTTTCTGTGTGCTATAACCGACATATTGCAAGAGAATTAATAAAATATTGGGTCTCCATAATATTCTAGGAAATTTCCAATCTGTTTATTATTTTTCTAATTATAGTACATTTAATATAATTACCTAGTTATGTTAAAATTTTCTAGTATGGGATTGTTTTTTGTTTTTTCTTTAGGCAAATAGGTAAAAGTCAGATTATCCTAAAATCTTATTCACTGTTGGATTTTGAATTTTGATTCAAATAAAGGACTACTTCAGATTGATATCAAAACTTTAATTTTCAATTATAGTAGAAGGTAAAATCACTCAACTGTACATCATGGTTTTAAAAAATATTATGACAATGTTTTTCACTGTTTATGTTTTGTTTATTTCTGCAGCTGGATTCTGATGGCACCATTACCATAGAAGAGCAGATTGTCCTTGTGCTGAGAGCTAAAGTACAGTGTGAGCTCAATATCACCGCTCAGCTCCAGGAAGGAGGTAACGATCCTGAGTAAATTGTGTCCGTCTTGTGCCCATCCTCCAGTATGCACCAAGATTGCCAATTTTCCTCCTTATTTAGTATTAGGAGACCCTCAATAGTCATTTCATTTCCATGTGGCCAGGGCGTGTGGAAAGAAGGCTCTTTCCATCTCTTTAACCCATTAGCTTTTCTCTCCCTCTGGGAGGAGTAACTTGCTTGATTTGTGAGTTTGGAAGAGCAGCTGTACATACTAGCCTGTGCCCCTTTGGCCTCTCTTTGGGATCAGTCTGCTTGCAGAGAACACGCATGTTGGCTTGCTTATCCATGACCATGCAGTAAGCTTGGAGGGGTAGGCTCTGTCTTTGTGTGTATGGCCTGCAATTTTTTGTAGTATCTAAAATCCAGAGGAGCAAATAAGCAAGCCCATTTATATGTACCTAGGCCATGTTCTCCAAAAGACTTTTTTCTTAAAGTGATTATTTGATCTTCATCTGTCTGACTCCTTATGTAGTTAGTTAAATAGTTGCAAATTCATCTGAGCGGACAACTTCTATTTACTATTTACTCCCTAAATTCTCAGTAATCTGAATGCAGCAGATAATGTCCTTAAAGCCATGTCCTGTAATAAAATATGTAGTTTGATATCTGTTTCCTTCTAGTCTCCAGATATTAAAAAAGTTTTGTGTTTGAGTTCTCTCGGTTGTTATCAAAGAATGTGGTCTGCAGGATACTGATTTTTAAGAATGTGTTGTAACTGCTGGGATTATACCCGAAGAATCCTGAAGCTCCAATTAAAAAAAACCTGTGCACCCCTATGTTCATAGCAGTGTTATTTACAATTGCCAAGTGCTGGAAACGGCCTGTGTGCCCATCAGTAAATTAGTGGATCAAAAAACTGTGGTTCATTTATACAATGGAATACTATGCAGCAGAAAGAAAGAGGAGCTCTTACCTTTCATGACAGGGTGGATAGAACTGGAGAGCATTATGCTAAGTGAAATAAGCCAGGCGGTGAAAGAAAAAGACCATATGATCTCACCTCTAAGTGGAACCTAATCAGCAAAACAAACGAGCAAAATAGAACTAGAGACATAAAAATAAGGAACAAACTGACAGTGACCAGAGGGGACGGGGGAGGGAGATAATGGGAGAAAGAAGGGGAAGGGGCGAGTCCAGGAACAGGAACAGAGGTCTCATAGGTGTGGACAATGCGGTGGGGACTGACTGTGGGGGGGAGGGGTGGGCAGGGGAGAGCAACAGGGAAAATGGTGGGACAACTGTAACTGAACAACAATTAAAAAAATAAGAATATATTGTGAAAAATGGCTTATAGTGTGGTCAATTTTAATAAATGTTCCATGTGGTCTTCAAAGGAGTGTGATTCTCTGAGTATATTGTTTTACAGTGTCTCCTAGGTTAAGGTTATTGGTTGTATTGTTCGTGTATTCTGTATCTGTAATGATTTTCATCTGCTTGACCTATTCTCATCTGAGGTTTATATCTTAAAATCTCCCACTCTGATGGTGGATTTTTTGCTTCATATATTTTGAAAATATTAGGCATATACAAGTCCAGTTACATTAATTGTGTTTATTAATATATAGTACCTGAATTTAATTCTACTATTTAATTAATCTTATTTGGGTTTTTCATTTCACCATCTTTTTCCTCCTTCCACTACTCACCCCACCTTCTTTTGGCTTCTTTTGAATTGAGACTTTTTTTTCTTGTTTCATCCTTCCTCCCCCTATTAGTTTTTAAGATATATATATATATATATATATATATATATATATATATATATATACATTTAATTCTTTTAGCGATTAACCTAGAAAAGCCACAAATGCAGTGCTTGTTGACCCGATGGAATAATTTCTGGCCTCGGAGTTATTGTTATCATTTACAGCCAGCTAAGTCATGTTTTAAGAAGGTTTTTATATTAACTTAGCCTTTGTTGGTATCTTGTACTGGAAAGTGGCTGTCTGAATGGCCAGACTAATAGTATCAAAAAGGGGGATCGCCCATGCTACCTCCAAAGAACATGGAAGGAGCACCACACTAAGAGGAAGTTATGAGGATTATTATCTATGGAGGCCTGAATGAACTATTTTCTATGATGTCTCAGGAAATTTTGAGCTGAAAGATATCTTAGGGATTACTTAGTCCAACATTATCTTCTTCAGTGTCCTTTTAACATTTATCAAATATGTTATGTGTCCACAATGCGTTGCTTCTGCACTAAGCACTGGAAAAAATGCATCAGATTCTGTCCTTGCCCCATGGAGATAATGATGTAGTTAGGGAGACTGATACTGTTCAGCATGGTGTTATTGATAACAGAGGCATCCTAACTATGTAAAAGGCAGCTTCATTCATTGGGGAGGGATCAGAGGAATGAGATGTGTAGAGGAGGCAGTAAAAGATATTCCCAGCAGAGGGAGTAGCAGGGGTGAAGGCAAGCACACATGATTCAGCACTCACCACAGAGTCACATGTAAAAAGAGTAAATGGTCTGGATGTAAACTTATATAACATATAAAGATGTGAAAGTATGAAACAAGGTGATAGGGAAGTATTAAAGGAGAAAAGACACTTTCTTTGAGATCTTTCTCCATATAAATAGGATTGAATTAAATCTGGTCAAATTTTGGTCTACTTGTCAATAAAAAATGTGTAATTATATGTAAATTAACTCTAAATTTTTCCCCTTAGTATGTAAAAAAGTAGAATGACCTTTTGAATTTACTAGCTAATTTAAGAAATTTTTATTTTCAATTTTTTCTAAAATCAAGAGATGCATATTAAAATATTTAGCAGTAAAGTGTTATGCTATCTGCAATTTAATTTAAATACCACCACAAAAAATAATCATGAAATAATATGGCAAAATATCAACAAGTGTCAATTCTAGATGATGAATATAACATATTCTTTGTTTTGTTTATGAAAACAATTTGTAACAAAAATTTTTCTACGTGTCTCTGAAAGGAGAAAAGGAAATGTAAATGCAAGTACCTAGTCATAAAACTATTCAAGTATTTAAGAACACAAACCAAAATATTATTGATCCTGGGTCCACTCACAAACAAATGGTTACATTGTGTTACAGGTAATTGTAGAACTAATAGGAGACTAAGTTAGAGTCTTTAAATTTTAGATTTTTCTGTGAAAAATATGGATTAACAAACTTCGCTGATATTTAGTTTGTCCTGGCATATACAAAAGATAACAGGAAATGTAATTAATGGTATTAATTTATAAAGGGAGATTTGATAGTCATCAGGCAATTAATTAGTTTCTTACTAAATAATGAAAGTATTTACTCACATGAGAGGTGAGATCATTATCAAAGAGTAGATGTTAATTAAGATCCCTGTATTACCAGCGTGGTCATGGCTTCCTCAGGCTTTTCAGCCTTTTGGGAATATTTATCATTCTTTTTGTCAAACAGCCACCAGAGAGATGAACATGGTCTGTAGAACCTTATTTTGGGGAGTATTGGTGTTCTGAATTTTGGGAGCTATGTTTGTGTGTAGGAGTGGTATCCTGCAGGGAACTAGAACTCTGCCCTTTTACAGACATGAAGAAAAATAGCTGTTTAAAGACCATATAACTATAGAACAAACTGGTCAGTAGATTTTAGTCTTATATGAAGACCTTATTTCATCATGTGACTAACTCCTGCGAGAACATCTCACATGACGTTGCTGCATACATTTTGGAGGGACAACTAGTTACAAAAACACAGAATGTGCGTTCCGCTTCAATTTATATAGATTGCACAGTACTTATCTGCCTGGTAAAGGATTAGATGGCATAGATAAACAAGGACTCATGGCTTGTTAAAGACCAAGAAATGGATGGGAAGCCCTATGGAAAACTATGAAGATAGAGGAGAGTGTCTAGCACAAAGTTGGTGGGAGAGATTGATTCATTACACTCTGCTTAAAGAAGAAAGAAAACAAGCAGACCAAAAGCAGGTGATGGTGGAGGGAGGCAGCTGACTGTGCCCGAGAAACAGGAGCCAGCGGGAAGCGTTCCTGGTTGTTTGTGGTAGGTGAAGCCCAGGCTTTCATTCTGTGAACAAAGTGTGGCTGTTTCCTGGAATAGGTTCTTTTCTATAAGAACAGTGTGGTAAGGGAAGACATTTTCTTCTTTTCTTTTCTTTTCCTTTTTATTGCTTCAGCAATTCACAAAGCGAATCAAGTATTGGTTTCTGTGTGATAAGGTGGACACTAAGAAGTTAATTTCAGATTTATGTTGAATTCTTTTTTGTAGAGATCAGCTCTTGTGTGGGGTTCTGTTATGCTGACTATTCAAAACTGAACAACTTGACGTCATGAGCATTAGTGAGAACAAGAAAACCTCAGCTACAGTTAGTGTAATTGGTAACTAAAAAATCAAGAGAGATTTAATGGGTAATACCTTTACTAACAAAATAATGACCTCTGCCCAAAGATGTCGACACCCTAATATCTGGTGTTATACTTGAGTATGTCCTGTTACATGAAAAAGGGACATCGCAGATGGAATTAAGGTTATGGGACGTAAAAGAGGTAGATTATCCTGGACTATTTGGATGGGCCCAATGTAATCACACTCCTTAAAAGTGGCAGAGGAAGGCAGAAGAGTCACAGAAGAGGAGTGAAGGAGACTCGAAATGCGACAAAGGGGTCTTGAGCTAAAAAATGCAAGTAGCTTCCAGGAATTGGGAACAGCACTTAGCTGACAGCCAGCAAGGAAGTGGAGAACTCAGTCTACAGCTGCAGGGAACTAAATTCTGGAACAACTGGAACGAGTAAGGAGTCAAGTTCTCTGTCAGAGCCTCCAGAAAGGAATGCAGCCCTGCGCAGACCATGATTTTGGCCTTGTGAGTCTATAAGCAGAGATCCAGCCAAGCTTGCTGGACTTCTGACTGACAGAATAAGTGAGACAATAAATGGTGGTAGTTTGTGAGGTCGTACTAGAAAATAAAAACAGCACTCATTAAGAGTGGTCTCTTTTGGAGAAGCTGGGGTATAACATGGCTGATATGCTCCCTTCTTGGAAGGGCAATGCACAGCTGGTGGAGAGGAGTCCGGCAGAAGGGAGTGTTGGCACGGACTGAATGCTTGTTCAGCCCCTGTCAAGTGCCGGGTGGCTAAAGCATGAAACAAAACAGACAAAATTCCTCCCCCTCCGGGTGCTTCCACCTCATGGTTTAAGAAAACAATAATAAAATAACGCAATATTGGAAGGTAAAAAGTATAGCAGGAAATGTGATAACGAGTATGTCAGGATGTAATTTCACATGGGCAAAGTTTACTCAGAAGTTGAAGTTTTTCTGAGTAAAGATTTTTTGGGAAAAATCTGTAGGAGGTAAGGGAATGAGCCTCGAGGCTGTCTGAGGGAATGACACTGAGTTCACAGGAGAGAAAAGAGGCCTTTGGCCAGCGTTGAGGTCAAGGAGGTAATCGAGGGGAGAGGGCAGTTCTGTTGGGGCCTGCAGACATTGTAAAGACTTGGCTTTTGCCCAGAATGGATGGGAAGCCTTTGGACGATTCAGGGCTATTGTGTTCAGAATAAATTCAAGGATTTATTTCACTTGGCGTAATGCCCTCTAGATCCATCTTTGCTGTCACAAATGGTACGATTTCATTCTTCTTTATGGTTGAGTAATATTCCATTGTAGGCATGTACCACATATTTATCCAATCCTCTGTTGATGGACACCAAGGTTACTTCCATATCTTGGACATTATAAATAATGCTGCCATGAACATAGGAATGGGTGGATATATTTTTTGAAATAAGTCAGACAAAGACAAATACCATATGATTTCACTTATACATGGAATCTAAGAAACAAAATAAACAAACTGAACAGAAACAGACTCAGACACAGAGAACAAACTGATGGTTGCCAGATGGGAAGGGGATTTGGGGAAACTGGGTGGAAAAGATGAAGGGATTAAGTAGAAATTGGCAGTTACAAAATAGTCACGGGGTGTACATACAGCATTGGGAATATAGTCAATAATATTACAATAACTATGTATGGTGCTAGGTAGGTACTAGACTTATGGAGGGATCACTTTGTAAATTATATAACTGTCTAAACACCATTCTATACACCTGAAGCTAATATAGTACTGAATGTCAACTGTAATGTAAAAAAAAAAAAAGAATAACTGAAAGGAGAGCAACACAGAGTCAGGAAGACCAGCTGGAGGCTCTGTAGTAATTCAGGTTGCCAATGAGGGGTGCAGACCATGCTGGTGGCAGCGGAGGTTGTAAGAAGCTAGAGGGCCCAGGATGCATCTCAGGAGAGTACAGCTTATGAGGATTTTGAGTGAGATGAGTGCTAGACTCAAAGAAATTACTAAAATTATTGCTAAAAGGCAACCCCAAATCTTGGAACTTACCTGTAAAGTTCAACCTGTTTTGTTCATCATATATATATTTATTAAAATTTAAAAAATTAAAAAAAATTATTTATTTTTAGACAGAGGGGAAGGGAGGGAGAAAGAGAGGGAGAGAAACATTAATGTATGGGTGCCTCTTGTGCACTGCCCCTGCACCGGGGACCTGGCCCACAACCCGGGCACGTGCCCTGACTGGGAATTGAACTGGCAACCCTTTGGTTTGTAGGCCAGTGCTCAATCCATTGAGCCACACCAGCCAGAGCCATATATCATATTTTTAAACAGCAATTTTAAAATAAAACCTAGGGTACAAAATGTAGCTACAACTATGATAGCTGGAAGAATTTTACTGCAGAAGTTCTTCACAGTGAATCCTAATGTTTCTTATATATTAATTGTTACAACTCATTCATGTTGTAATCACTAAAATATTTTTAATTTATGCAAATCAAATATTCCTATCAATAGCCTTTTGATGAGGCTAAGTGGATGAATTTGGGGACATTTGCATCCTATCTACCTCATCTTAGTTTCCAAAACTAACAATTTGTTTTACATTTTGCTCCAGGCAGTGGCTTGAAATTCTGTATTTTGAATGAATTTACTCTCTGATCCCAACTGCATTTTTGTTTATTTGCTTTTATATTTCTTTTCTCATCAGAGGGAAATTGTTTTCCAGAATGGGATGGACTCATTTGTTGGCCCAGAGGAAAAGTGGGGAAAATATCGGCTGTCCCATGCCCTTCTTATATTTATGACTTCAATCATAAAGGTACTGGGTTTTTCTGAAATGGTTAATCTGGAACAGAAATTCACTTTTTTTTTAGTAATGTACTCTAAGAGACCTGAGCAATCTCACTGTTTTTCTTCATATCTTCATAGGCATTGCTTTCCGAAATTGTAACCCCAATGGAACATGGGATTTTATGCACAGTTTAAATAAAACCTGGGCTAATTATTCAGACTGCCTTCGCTTTCTTCAGCCGGATATCAGCATAGGAAAGGTGGTAATTTTGTATTTGTGAATCTCTAAGGGAAAGTAAAATAATGATTTTTAGGCAATTTTTGATTGTCAGCCATTAAATGTAAAACTCTTTTTATTATATAATACAAAGATCATAAAAGATAAAAGCAAGGTTGTGATATTTTTAGATACCTGGTTAAGGAAAGGTCTCTAGGACCTGGAATATTCTGGTATTTTTTTTTTAGGTTAGAGTTACCTGGCTGAGATATATACCTATATGCTTATAAATATGTGGGTGTTGTTGCATTACATTATGTTTACATTGCATTATATTATAAATAAAGATTTAAATAAGTAATCAGCAACATGATTCCTGATTTCTTTTGATTACCTGTAAATGGTTGCTTCTCATCTCATTCCACATTCTAGGAAAAGTATTTTAGAGATGTATTTTTCGTCTCTTAAGATTTGCCAGTAGTTGATTTCATTAGTATGTAAAAGGTTAGAGTTGTGAAATGACAGAGCAGGGGGCACCTTATAGGCCTTCCAGGATGATGCCTTAATTTTATACATGTAAGTCAACTCAGAACCAGAGATTAAGTGCTGGCCAAAGTGACACGGTCACCGATGGCAGGGCCTCACGTGGAGCTCTGATTTACAAGTTCCTCATCGGTGCTGTTTCTTGGATAGTAATGACATGTTAACTATGAACACTTCTAGGTGGTTACTTTTAAGATATACGTGGTGCTTCAAAGTCATGCTTAAACTCCTATTGCTCAGACCACATGAGTAAAGTGCATATGCACATAATGCCAGGAGTGAACATGGTAAATTGATGCATACATGATTTTTATGAGGACTCTGAGAGCAGTCATTATACATCAACTCTCCCAACGTTAGATATTTTTCTTTATACTTCGTGATATTTTAGGGGGTGAGGGAGAGGGTGAGAAATGGTGAGTTGAAGATTTCTTTGATTTTGCATTAATAATCAGAACTGTCTTAACTTTTTCCTTTTCTAACATAAAGCATTATCACCTAAATGAGCTCTTTAGTAAATTGCTGGAAGATCTTCAGTTTGTATTTCATTGTTGACAAACTTCTTAGATGAAATTAGTCAATATGAGATTGCCATATTCTCTACAATTAAACTAAAGCCAGCAGTGACAGTATAAAATGCTTAAAAATTATTTCAGTTCCACTGACACAAACATTCATAATATTTAGTATACTCTGATGAATTTATTTGTGCATTTAATGATGAGAAATGCAAGTCTTTCACAGGTTTTAATGGCCTTTAAATTTAAATAATGGTTTTAGGGGGGGAGGCAGAGACAAATGTATTTGAAAAAATAAATTAAAATAAAATAAAAAAAATCCTATTTAAAAAAAATTTAAAAAAAATAAAATAAAAAAAGAAAAAATAAATAATGGTTTTATTTACACTGAACTCTAATTTTATGAACATTTTTTGTGATTATGATGTATTCTAAGAATCAAGATAGCTAAGGTTGGACATACACCCAACGTATACACTATTTTATATAAAAATGATTTAAAACTTAACTGAAAAATTTGAAGAATTTTGTTAGCATAATTTTATTTTTTTAATTAAAAATATGAAGTGTTTCTATTGTTTACAGCCCTTAAACAATAGTTTGAAAAATATCCTCTAATAAGAAAACTGGATATTTCCTGAATTTTTTTTAATATTTTGGGGAAAAAATTGATATTACTTAATTATGAGATATTAATTATTAATGGTTATAAAGAAAAATTTTGTATAAGAAAAACAAAATTAAAAAAGCATGAGTTTGGAATACATGTAACATCTTTGCAGGGGAAATAAGATTGAGATTTTTTAAATATCCATTATTTTATTCTTTAAATAACTTCCATATCATTAACTTGACAAAATGAAGTGATTACTTTTAATAAAAAAGAAGGAAAAAAATCTTCTACTAGATTACAAGGTTATTAAATTCTTTAGAGTATAATATCTAAAACACTAGCACATTGTATAAATTACTATGTGATATATCTCTTGTCTAAAGGCTATGTGCATTTCTGGAAAGATATTTAGCAATATATATTTAAAAACTTCAAAGGGTTATATCCTTTGATCTTATAATCCTTCTGAGATTCAAGCATAAGGATTTGGAGTGGGGGGAACTAAATGGATTTATTGAACCACTAAGAAAAATGTTCATATCTCTCATATTAGCTGTGACCTCTGCAGGGTTAATAATTATTGTGGATATTGTGAAGAATTAAAATTTCCAGTGATGAACTAGTTAAATAAACTCTATTTTTTTTTTTTTTTTTTAAGGGTTTGTGACCTTGGGAAATTCTTTTCTTATACATTTAATTGAAAAAAAAAACCCCCATGTAATAAATGTATATAAATTGGGGATGAAGATGTTCAAAACAATAGGCAATGAATGATGCATAGAAATAGAATGAAAAGAAATACATGATATACTAACTGTTTCTTTTTGGTTGATGAGAATTTAGGAGCTTTCCCCCCTATTTAGTGTTTTACATATTGTTCAAACATTTTCTATCAAAAGTTTTAATGTTTTATTAACAGAAAATAATACGTAGTAAATGTTAAAAAAGGAACAAAAAGCGAAGTCTTCAGCTTCCAGTCAAAATGTAGGAAGGTTGTGAAAATAAGTGGAGTAACATGCAAAATCAGTAATTTGTAAAAAATGCATCAGTGAGGCATTTTAAGGACACCAAAAAATGAGAAGGAAGCAAACTCGAGAGGAGGGCAAGCCCTTTCTATGTGAGAAGAGACCCATCAGCAGTCGTCCCAGGTCTGCAGCAGAAGAGGAGCAATCAAGCCACAGAAAGGGATAAAAAGGATGGAACCAGACTTTCAAACCCGCTTCTAACAGACAAGCGGTGGCATAAGCTTAGAATTCTAAGGGCTGAGCCCTGCTCACAGTGAGTTATCACCCACCAGCCAATTGTTTCCCATGGGGCCTTCTCTGAGTGCCTGGAGGCAGAATGCCGAAGGCCAGGACAGAGCAGGTGGCCAAGAGAAATCCCCCAAGATGTGCATGGGGCCCTCACAGAGGGAAAGGCGGCAGTAAGCCGAAGGCATGGCGCAGAACAGAGGAGCTGAGAGACATGTTTTAAGGCACATGGAGCCCTCACTAAGTGCATGACTGTTGCAGCCCACAGGCCGGGGAAGGGCTGCAAATCCCCAAGATGCACAGATCTCATTGCGTGAAAGGCAGTAGCCTGATAAAATAGAGCTGAGAAAGATCGTTCCCAGGCCTGGTGGACTTCACCTAGCAGGGGTGTCCAACCTTTTGGCGTCTCTGGGCCACACTAGAGGAAGAAGAGTTGTCTTGGGCCATGCATTAAATACATAAACACTAACAAAAACTGATGAGCAAAAAAAAGGTTTTAAGTAAATTTAGGATTTTGAGTTGGGCTGCATTCATAGCCATCTTGGGCCACTTACAGCCTGCGGGGCTGCTGGTTGGACACCCCTGAAAGCAAGGCGGTGGCTCGTTGAAGACTAGGCAGGGTGGAGTGAGATCTTCGGAGATGCAGAAAGCCCAGGGAAGAGCTGGAGAGCAAAGTGAAACCCCTACCAACTTAAAAAGCTGATGGATGCTTCAAAACGCAGAAAGAGGTCTTCTGTGGCTTGGAGATGTGTCCAATAGACTAAAACACATATAAGGGTCTCCAGAGGCTGCTGGTGTTCAGATCCTGGGGTCTGCTGAAGGAGATGTTTTGATGTTGCTCTCAAAACCCACAACCAGGATAAAAGAATCATAAGAGACAATGCAAAACAAAAACTACAACAAAGGCCACCTCCAGTTTAAGAACAGAGTAGTCCAGCCACCCCCACCAAGAAGCCTGATGAAAGAAGTCTGTCCTTTGCAGGCTGTTAATATTATGTACATAGTTCCAACTATTCTTTTACCCCAATGCCTGGAATGTCATAAAAACTTGCAAGGCAGGGATCCGAAATCTAGAGTAAAAAAAACAATCCAGATGTTCAAATTTGCAGATGAGTACTTACTAACAATTGTTATAAATATGTCAGATGATTTAGTGAAAAAGGTGCATAAAACAGATGGGAAAATTAGCAATGAAAAAAGAACAAACTTGATAGTGCAACAGCTTAAATGGATTCTGAGGCCATTATTCTGAGTGAAAACAGCCATTCTGAAAAGGTCACGTACTGTATGTACGATTGCACTTACAGAACATTTATGAAATGGCAAAATTATAGAGATAGAAAATAGCATAATGGTGGTCAGGTGTTCGGGACGGTGGGGAGGAGCGGGGAAAGGGGCACGAAGGTCTTCGTAGGGAGAGAGTAGCTGTGTCTGGATTGCAGGGATGGTTATAAAAGTTTACATGTGTGTTAAAACGACATAAAACTATAAACACACAAATTGCACCAAGGTCAGATTCCTGATTTTGATGTTTTAGTATAATTATGTTGTGTATAACCACTGGACAATAGTGGGTGAGGGGTACATAGGACCTTTCTTACTATTTTTCCACTTCTTGTGACTTTATTATTTTAAAATAAAAAAATTAAAAAGGAACGAGTCATTGACTCACACAATATCATTGAGTTTCAAAACAGTGTGTTGACAAAAAGAGCATATATTATATAATTCTAAGAACTGTCAAGAAGTAAAGGAAATACGTGAACAAATTGAGCTAATTTGTGGTGCTGGAAGCAGGAACAGGAGTTAGCTGGGGGCAGGTGGTGGGTGGTTTTCTGACTTGTAAGGGGCCCAACGAATTTGGTTTGTCAAAACCCATCAAACACATTTAAAATTAGTACATTTTAGTTTATGTAAATTATAGCTCAATAAAAAAGTTAAGGAAGGCTAGATGTAATATTCCAAAAATGCCATATTCTTTTTACCACTTTCCTCTTAAAATAGTCCTGTAACATGTGTTTTGTTTACTCCCTATATCATATGTCAGATATTTAATTCCAATTAGTTAAAATGAACAGTACAAAAATATATGAAATAAAAACTACAACATTTAATTTGACTTCACTTAAGCAATAAGAAATGACAAATACCGCTGTAACATCTTTAACCATGACTTAAATTTAGGAAATAAAAGGAAGACCAGAAGAGTAGTCTACAGTATTATATGAACGTGATAACACATTGCCTCTCTCTGGTTTGGCAAAAGCATGATTGTTAAGTTTATCTACATTGACTGATTTGTTCAAACTTGCTTTTCTAATTAAATTTCTTCGCCTGCAGCAAGAATTCTTCGAACGCCTCTACATTCTGTACACTATCGGATATTCCATTTCCTTTGGTTCCCTGGCTGTGGCTATTCTCATCATTGGTTACTTCAAGTGAGTGATTCCTGTTCGTGTATTTATTCACAGAAGACACAGAGGTCTCACAATTTGTGTCCCCAAATATTTTTCCCAACATGAGTTTTTGAATTCAGCCTAGTGTTATTATATTACTTGACTTTGACAATTTACTTTTTTCATGAAAAAAAATTCAGAGTTTTGTTTGTTTAAAATCTTAAAAGCACTGCAACACCATTATGCCAATAGATTTGCATTGCAGTATATTTGTTTGCAAAGTGATGCAGATTAGAATTGAAGGAGTTACACAAATTTTCATTCATGATGTAAAGACTATGTCACTTTTCCCAAATGATTTTGGTGACATTGGACAGAAATTCATTTTCAATCTCCCAAATTATTTGATGTCACATGTCAAGAAATAGTATTTATTACATTTGTTGTGGGTTTTTTTATCTACTTACTTGCCCAAATTAATTCAACTTGATCTAAATCAACACCAACTTTTGATTACCAATAAGGAGATAAAACAGTAGACAACATATGTAGGCTCCATATGCTCATGATGCTTGCAGGTGGCCGTGACGCAAATGGCTGAGGAAACCATTAGTGCGCAGTTTGGGAGGTGCTGTGGTCCAGTCAGTGTACAGTGATTTGGGAGGGCAGAGGAAGGAGGTGAAGGAAGGCCTCCCAGATGAAGTGCAATCTCAAATAACATGAGTACAAATAAGATTTAACCAAAAGAGGGAACTGGTGAAGAGAGTTCCAAACCTAAGTTTAGATTTTTAAAAAAACATAGAATATTTGTGATCAGAGTTGTGGTGTAGGTAAGGGATGGGCACCGAGAGGGAGGTAAGCGGGGTTGAGAAGGTATTGAGACCTGTAGGTTATAAAGAATGGAAGGTAACCCTAAGAGCCAGGAGGAGCCACTGAAGGATTTTAAGCAAGGGAGTGACATGAAAGGGCACTTGCGCTGTGGAGTGTGAGCTGGTGGGAAGCAAGAAAGGAAGCCCGTTTGGGAGAGGCTGTAGAATAACCCAGGACAAAAGATGGTGGCCTGGTCTAGGGCAGTGGCACTGACGACTGGATAGAAATGGAAGGCTTTGAGGTGTATTAATTATGACAGCACAATGTTAAGAATTTAGTGCTAAATTATGTGTGGAAAAAGGAGTGAGGACATATTTAAAACACTAAAATCGAGAATTTAGAAGCTAACAGAAACTACAACTAGAAAAAAGATTTATATTTTATTTCCTATCACATTGTAATGATTTCTTTCTTGAAACATCTCATACCTAATTCCTGCTTTATTTATTTCCTTTGATTTATTACTATCTAATATACTACCTGCTTTACTTGTTGATTTTTTAAATTTTTTGTCTCTTTAGAATGTGAAGCAACATGTCTAGGCATTTATTTATTTATTTTTGTTTGCTCATTGTTGCATTTTCAGTAGCCACATTGTGTTTGATTGGTATAATGGGGGAAAGAAGGGGAAAGGTCAAGTCAGGGAACATGTATAAAGGACACATGGATAAAGACAACAGGGATGGGGGGAGGATTGAACATGCGAGGTGGGGGGTGAGTAGGGCAGGGGAGAGTAATGGGGGAAAATGGGGTCAACTGTAATTGAACAACAATACAAAATTTGTTGAATTAATAAATAAATGACTAGTTCTAATATTTCAACAACTTCTCCTAACACAATTACCCACATTGTAGTGGTACAGTTTATATTTCCAAAGTTTGTTCTTTATCGATTCACTAGATCATCTATTCAACAAGCATTTTTCTCTTCCATGTGATAGACCCTTCTTGGTATTGATGGAGGCCAAGTTATGTTGCACACCAGAAAAAGTAGTATACGCACCTTGAGAGAAACTGACCTATTACATCATTATAAAATAAAATAAAATAAAATAAAATATTGTTAGTACTGTAATACTAGTTTCTATTGTATGAAGGGCTTTGGGAACACCAAGGAGGTAGTCCAAAACTGACAAGATGATAAAAACTTCCCAGAACAACTGACATGTGAGCTGATATAGAATGAGAAGGAATTCAGCACATTCCAAAGGCTGGGAACAGAATGTACAAAAGTCAGATGTACAAAGAGCAGAGTACAGGGAGGGAACATCGAAGAGTACTACACAAGCGCAGCACTTGGTGTGTGGGGAGGGGTGGTCATATTGGAATGCCCAGGAAGAGGCGAGACTTTGTGGTCACTAGGTTTTGAGGTCCTTGTCAAGGGCTTTGAATTTCATCTTTTAAAAGCAGGTCACAGGGAGACAATGAAGTTTTAACTAGAAAGGTAACACAATCACAACTATGAGATTACAAAGGTGTTCCTCAAAATAGCCTTGTGAAATGGGCTTGGCGAGTATTATCCCATTTTAGAGACCAAGAAACTGAAGCTCGTTGTCCAAGGTCACAGGTGGTAAGTGGTCCAGCTGGAAAGAAAACCTTCATTTTCTGACTCCTAGCCAGTGGTCATTCCACTACACCAAGCTTAGCTGTGCTTATTCAGAATAATACACAAGTATTTAGGAGAAATGGAAAATTTCAGGAGGATATACATGACTAATAATTCTTTGATTTACATAAATGTTCATCATAGTATTTAACAGTGGATTCTTTATAATTATACGTAATTGCTCTACTATACAGAAAATATTACACAAGAATTTCAGAAACTCTTCTGTTTCACAAAACAAAAATCCCCTTTCTTAGGATAGCAAGTAGTGTTGAGTCTCTGAAAAATCAAAACCTGCTATATACAGTGATGGCACTATTCATAGGAAATAGTTGTTGTGCACACTTGATAACCTGTCTGGCCAAATCCTGCTTACCCGTGAGGACACTCCCAGTGAGGTCCATCTGAGAGGGCCGGCTGGGCACCATGGACATAAATATATGCTCCTGACATATTAACATGCAACACTTTCAGAATATCTAAATTTAGCTTATTTTTGTCTGACCTTCCCCTTCTATGCTATGCCATAGGAAAATAGGTTATTGAATTAAAATTTTTCTAACTCCCTTACACTTGGGTGCTTTGTCTTCTGGAAGAGAGGTAGTATTTGAAAGTTGAGTTTTCTCACAATCAAGCAATGGCAGAGCTGGGCCTTTTGACCAGATTATGCAACCTTTTCCTAGAGTTTTTCTTTTTTTAAAAATTTTTTCGTCAAACTTGTACAAAAATTCTCTTTTGGAGTCAGCTTTCTGTACTGGAAATTAGTGTTACTGTATCTAACACACTAAGTATGTTATCGACTTGACTTTTGTCTATGATCCTTTTATAGTTCCAAAGATTTTAATGTTAAAATAAGCTTGTTTACGCTCCATCATGCCTAGAAAATAAATTGTGTAATGCTATCACAATATCTTACTTTTTCTTAAAAAGAATATATTGAAAATGTGAAAGTTACTATTTTAATAATGTTTATCTCGGTTTACGTGGTTCTCCATTAACCGATATATAGTATAATATAATGCTCTAGTATAATTTAGTATAATATTTAACACTACAAAACACTGGATGAACATGGTAGCAGATGAGAATAATCTTTAAATTGATTCCCAAAACGTCACATTTTAATTTTTGATCCTAGTTGTTTCTATTGGAAATATATGATAATGGATTTCTGTCTTTGTTCAGGTTTATTTTATTTTCCTCTTCTTTGGAGGGAGGAGGTTGAGCTCATTTATCTATTTTCTTTGCTCATTTCTATTTTCATACAAATCTATAACTGATTATTTTCTCTCCATAGACGATTGCATTGCACTAGGAACTATATCCACCTGCACTTATTTGTATCTTTCATGCTGAGAGCTGCAAGCATCTTTGTCAAGGACAGAGTGGTCCATGCTCACATAGGGATAAAGGAGTTGCAGTCCCTGATGATGCAGGATGACCTACAGAATTTCATTGATGCACCTACCATGGACAAATCACAATATGTAAGTGTTTTCATCATTTTCTCTCATTACTGATTTGTATAACATTGCACATGAGTAGAATTTTATAGCCCACTAAATATGCATTGACTTGTTTTGGCTTACCTCTGGACTAACTGAAATAGATGACCAATTTTATACTGATGCTTACTATCTCAATTCTATTCTCAAGCCTCATGCTTAATCACTCATTCAAGAATATTCTGGAATGGAAACTGCAAAAAGCACATGATTGGAATGGCCTTTGATGTACGGCCCATAACAGTTGTCACCACTTCCAGAACCAGAAGCTTGGAATTCAGAAGCGCATGACATTTAGTTCCTTTATTGTAGACTCACAGACTTGTTTCAATATAATATTCCATGGTATTTGGTTCTGCTGTTAAATATCTTGGTGTTATTTACTAAACAGAATCACCCAATATTTCAATTAATTAGATCCTTAAAAGAAATATATCTGGAAATTAAGTATAATAGATTAATTGTCTCATTGGTACGACTCAATGCCCTATCTGTATCTTTGCCCTTTGTCTTGTAGCTTAGTATTCCCTGCTGATTCTGATTCTAGACTGGCTTTGTGATTTGTTTCACTCAGCAGAACCAAGTAGAGGTGATAGTGTGCCAGCTGATTGTAGACCATTGTGAGCAAACCTAGCTGACCAAGGTCAGCTGAGCCTGGCCCAGATCAGCACACTCGCCTAGCCAATCATTAGATTTATAATGTGCATTATAAAAAGCCATTAACTTGTGGGGCATAAAAAAATACCAGAATAAAATGAATTTATGGTAGAATGATGGATAATATTTTCTTCTTTATGCTTTTTTATTCTTTCCTAATTTTTCTCTAATGATCATGGATACTTTTTATAAACAGGAAAAATTAAGGAAAAGTGATTACAGGTTGACTTACATGCACACCTGCCCACACTGCCCTGAGTGTTTAGCAGTTTTGACCAGACACTGCATGACCCCCGTGCCCCACCCTCCCTATTCACCTGGTCTTACCCAGAGGGACTTTTTTTGTTTCCCCAAATGAAAAAAAGTACTCAAAGGGAAACGTTTTGCCAATGAGGAAGAGGTGAAACAAAAAATGGCAGAAGTATTAAAAGGCATCAAAACTGATGATAACAGAAACCGTTTTGAGCATTGGTAAAGACATCTCGATACGTATTTTGCATCAGATGGAGAGTACTTTGAAGGTGACTGAAGTTTAAACATGTAAGAATAAATACACAATTTTTTATAAATTAATTCTGTTTTATGGGTCTCCCCTCATGTATGCATATAGGCATAGCTCATGGACACAGCAATGTGGTGAAAGCTGGGGTTTGGGGGAGCTGGGCTGAGGGGGGCCAAAGGGGGAAAGTGGGGGACATCCGTACTAGTGTCAACAATAAAAACATGTTATGTTAAAATAATTTTGTTAGTTTCTTTCAACAGTCTTAGCCTTCATATGTATAAGAGACAGAGATCATAAAAAGAAAAATGAAGAGTTGCTTTTCAGTAGTTGAATGTGGGCATGCAGTAGAATTATGAGTTCTAATATGATACAATTCTGGTTTATCTGTAACAGATTGGGTGCAAGATTGCTGTTGTGATGTTTATTTACTTCTTGGCTACAAACTACTATTGGATTTTGGTGGAAGGTCTCTACCTGCATAGTCTAATCTTTGTGGCTTTCTTTTCCGACACGAAGTACCTGTGGGGCTTCACCTTGATAGGCTGGGGTAAGGAAATTATGTCTCTTTTTCTGTGAAACTGCATTATGGATTTTAGGGCTTTCTGCCATGCCTGTCATTAACATTGTCTCAGCCATTTTCCTGAAATAATCCCTCCTCATCTTTATTTCTCCTTCTTTTTCTTTCATTGTTCAGTGAGGAAAATTATAGGAGCAAGTCTATAACACTCCCAGTGGCAGCAAACTTTTTGTGGTTAACTTATGGCTTGTGTTCTTAGGCTAGATTCTTGAAGGGATTTTTTGGTGGAAACATAAGAGAACACATTGTTTGCCATACACATTTAGAACTTTCCTGTTCATCATATGCAATGTCTTAATAGAGCAATAATTTCATACTAAAATTTTTGATTTTTGAATTTCTAAGTTACAATGGCTCATCGTTGATTTGTGTTTCTAGGTTGTCTGATTAAAATGCAGAAAGGAACTTATAAGACCATCTTGACTACATGCCACAGTACAAATTGCAAAATAATTATGTAGATTTATCATGTTTTTTGGACAGAAATAATTCAAATTCCTTATGGGATAAGTAATGTAAAAAAAAAGATATTTAGCTCACATTTCAAAAATGCCTTATCAGTGCTGGAGGGATTACTGGGCTGGGCACAAACGCAACATGATATGGAGAAAAGGATGTTGTTTGTTATAATTTAAGAGAAATTAAAACTCATATGTGGTTAATATGAGGAAGTTTCAACTAACAATTGCATATTGGAATTGTTATTTTAATATCAAATTATGAGGTGCTCAGCATAGGAAAAAAAAAATTAACTAAGTGGCTCAAGATCAGATTTGAAGAGTTTTTTCCAGTCTCCAAAATCAGAATATTTCTTGGTTCATTTTGTCTTCAAGTCAAAATTACATCTGGATGCCTACGTAATTACTAGATGTTAGTAAAATGGTAACAGAAAATTTTTCAATAAATGTTAAATTACATTTTTGTTTTGGATTTCTACAGCACTGGTCACACTTGTAATAAATTCTTTTTTCTCTATTTATTTATTGGTCTGATAGCTAACTTTCCTATGAAATGTTATTTGGGCTGTGTCAGTCAATTCTGCCCCTCCTAGTCAGAACTTTGTTTCACTGAGACCCAGGAAATTTGTTTTCAAGTCCTTCTTTGAAAAAGAGAATTAAAAAAAAGTCCAGTGGGCTTCTATGTAAATGTGAGTTTCTTACTTTTTTTTTTTTTTACAATTTTTATTAATTTGTCCATAAAAGTTTTGTTATAGGGATGATAACTACAGTAAATAGATAAGCATCATCCCTTGAAATCATTTTATCAAATGGCTTAAGAACATACATGAAAGCAAGTGGGACTTACATGCAACCTCACTTTGAAAAAGCATTTACATGTAATATTATGCTTACTCAACCATAATCTAAAACACTAATAACCAATCTTTATGGAATTATGATTCTAGAGTTGGTCTATCTTCTGACTCCCTCTCTTTTTTTAAAAAAAGTAAGTGCTCCAGTTTAGGACATATATAAATAAAAGAATAGTAATATTTTTTGAAGACCACCTGTCTGCTACTCAAACACATCTATTAACAAAGTAAATATCTGTTTGATCAGTATACTATTTTTCCCTCATCTCAACACTGAGAGTCTGATTTTAAAACATTTTTATTTCTTACTCATTTTTCCAGATTCCTATGAGAAAAACAATGAGCAAAAACGTTACAGCTACTTTACCAAGATCTTTTGCTAGAATAATTCCTACTTCCTTTCAGTGATGTGATTTATTGGCTTCACTAGAAAAGGAAGGTTGCTGGGATTCCTTTGTTCTTCATTTGGACCCAATCATCATAACTTTCAGTTCTTTTCAGCTGGGTGTGGAGTTACATTATTTATATTGATTTTGCCAATTTTTAACAATCAGTTGAAAGAGAAGGAAATGACAATCTAAAGAGGATCAGATGCCACATCTAACCTTTAGTACATTGAAGGCAAATATTTTAAATTGCTATTTTTACACATCTTTATTACAAAACAAGATATTTAGAGGAGTGAAGGCAAATACTGATGATGAGTATGTTTTTTTTTTCTTTCAACCAATCTCCTTCTTCATTTTCCTCACCTCTGCCTCTATTTTCCCATAAATATGGCACTTTATTCTTGGTTCCATTTTGTCCTTTTAACTACACATTTAAAAAATATAGTTAGTTCTATATTTAAAAAGTGTTAATCTTGTTTCTTTATCCTTATTGAAAGTAATTTACCTCTATATCAGCAGCCACTCTTTTTTTAAAAAAGATTCTATTCATTTACCTTTAGAGAGAGGGGAAGGGAGGGAGAAAGGGACAGAAACATTATTGTGAGAGAGGAACATCGATCAGTTGCCTCTTGTACCTGCCCAACCAACCCTGCAGCCCAGTTGCAGGACTGAACCTGCAACCCAGGCATGCACCCTGATTGGGGATGAAACCAGTGACCCTTCACTTTGCCGCAGGACGACACCCAACCAACTGAGCCACGTGGGTCAGGCTCAGGAGCCATTCTTAATTTTCGACTGCCAAATGAAATACCAGGATGTACATATTATCGTATAAAAGCACCTTTTCTGGTTATACCATGTAGTCATATCCCTACTGCCAAGCTTTCATGTAGAATATTTTCATGCTCTGTATTTTCTGAAAATCAGCAGGAGAAGGTACTGCATTTCCAGCTTTACTGTCTCTGTATGGAATGATCTCAATCCAGTAAACACTATTTTATTATCCATTTGGCAGTAAATACAATTGAAACACGGAGATATGTGTAGAGTCCCCACACACAAGAAGCATGCAGTCTGACCCTTTAGGTTATTTTACTTTTTTGTTTGTCTGTTCTGATAATATATATTATATTCAAAACATTTAATTTATAAAATCTGTTTAGCCCTAGTCAGGTAGTTCAGTTGGGCGGAGCGTCATCCAGATACACCAGGGTTGCAGGTTTGATCCCTGGTCAGGGCACATCCAAGAAGCAACCAATGAATGCATAAATATGTGGAACAGTAAACTGATGTCTTTCTCTTTCTCTCTTTCTCTCTCCCTTCCTCATGCTTTAAAAATAAAATCAATAAATTAAAAAAATCTGTTTATATAATTATTTTGATAGTCAATAAAATACATTTACATAATTAAAAATCTCATTGTTTGCTTCAAACAATCTAAAAGAGAAAAATATCTTTCTCTTCTTCTATGATTTTTAATATCTTTATTAATTCTACTGAAGGCTACCTTAAAGTAAAAATGATATTAACCATTAAAGTCAATAAAAGAATCTGTATTTTGGCTCTACATTATAAAAGATAAGGAACTTGGTGCTCTCTGTTTATCATTCTTTCCACACTTTTAAGATGCAATTTGGGGTTTTACTTAGTCATTTAAAATTATATAGATTATTACCTCTGTAAATGAAAATAAATGATAGCCAACTTTAGATTCACATTTGTAACAATGATGTAGATTTATCTCTATGGGTTTACCTGGTTTCAAGATTCTACCTCCTCTCTACCAATTTGATTTTCTACAGTTTCTGCACACTGGCAATATTTAATCCAGTATACATATTTTCTTTTCCATTGGAGTTCTATTATTTCAGACTGGTTCTTCTTTTATAATGCCTTGTTCTATTCTTTGAGCATATTTTGAGGTCCAACTATTAATTAGATATATTTTTTAAAGATTTCTTTTGTCTCCTATAATACTTTCATCTCAAGAGGAGGTAGCTTTTCTACAATGTCATGTATAGACACTGTTCTTTCTAACAACAAAAGACTTTTCAAGGGCTCTGCAGTTTTCCTGACAGAGAGATGCATTTATTCATTATTGGCTTAGAGTCCCAAGAGAACAATTCTGTCAAAATTGTATAGAGGGACTTCTAGGTTTCTTAAAGAATGGGCCAGTAGACGAGCATTTGCAACATCCTGCCATGAAGAGTGAGGGACCTAGAGGTGCAGCCCAGAGCTTCATGTCAGGGCAGTCGGTAGACTGGGTTCTCAGGGGCATCCATGCTTCTTGTTTGTAAGGCACTGCATGTCTGTTGCAAATCTAGGTGACCTCATCCCCTGAGGAGTCACTAATTTCTAGGACTAACTCTATGATCAATCTGTGACTTCAAAGGAGTCTAGTAGCGCCACAGGATTAAGACAAGGTTGAGGTAGGGCTCTGGGAAGCCTCTAAAGTGTTTAAAACAAGATGAAACTACAAATACCAAGATGAGGAGACCCTGTTCCCCCTCTTTGGTTTCAAAGCTTCTGTTTTTTTGCAGTGGGCTGCTGTATTTGTTTTTATTTGAAGAAAGAGTCTAATTGCTAAAGCATTTTGGACTGGTAGTTTAAATCTTCATTTTAAAGGCTAATACTAATAGAGCCACACCAGAACATAAGTCTGCTTATTCTTAGATCAGAGGTGGCCTCCCTCTCACAGTCACTTATTTATAGTGACATATTTTATGAAAATAACTCAGCTCTCAAGGTAAATGAATATATTGAGTAACATTCAAATTTATATTAAATTGATACTTCAATTTAAAAATAATGTGTGAATTTCAAACATTTTCCCTATATTTATGTGTTCTCAATTATGTAATAATGTGATATTAAGGTTGGCAATTAAAACAATCTTAAAGAGCCTGAAAGCAGTTTCTGTTCTTTATTCCTCCATGGTGGTCTTGACGTTGGTCTTGTGAATGGGGGTCTTCTAAGAGGATGAGAAAAGCAATTTTTATTAGGACATAGTACCTGATATATTTGTTCTAATTATTATCTAAAACATAATACTAACTCGAGCACCATTAATCGACGCACATAGAACATCATTTAGGAAATTGCTTGATCAGGATATTGTAAAGGGAGCAGAAGATAAAGACCTGCAGATGACTTGTTCTATTCTTTAAGAATATGAACATTGCCAATATGAACACAGAATGTGGAAACTTTGCTCACAGGAGGACAACCACTCTTTAAAGGTAGTCAGGGAGGTGGAACAGTAAAGGGACCATGGCAGGCCTTTTTGAACCATCCTGTCAGAAGGAGCCATGCTGTCTCCATTACTTGGTATCATTCTTGTTTTTCTTCACAACACTATAGATAACTGAAGTTGTATTACTAATTTTGCACCCCTTCCCACTATGATATGTTTCAAGGAAACAAGGATTTTATTTACTTGTTCATTATTTTATCTTCGCAGACTAGAACAATCCTTGGCACATAATAGACACTTAATAAATGCTTGCTGGCTGTCTGGTTAGACACTGGATAGAGATGCAGAGGAATGCATGATGGCTAGATAGACAAGAAGACAGATAGACAGACAGATAGGATACGTGAACTGAACCTAAGAAGTAATCAATCTATTTTGACAAAAAACAATTTTTCTGGAAGATACAATTTGAGTAGATTTTTAAAAATAAAAGTTATATACAAACAATAAATAAAATTGGAACCTAGAATCATAAAATTAATAGCTTCACAGGCAGGTTGAAATTCAATTCAATTAGGTAATTCCTGAGGAAACCCCTCTATTGTAGAGTATCATCTTATTTTCATGAAAGTTTTTTCATCAGAATCTATTTCTTTGTTCATTTTTTTTGCTGGGAAGGAATGTCTGAAAAATTACAGGAGTGTTGTTAAAAAGTAAAGAATTCAATATTGTGTTTAATAAAAAATTTTCTAAGTTAGATGAAAACTTCCTTTCTCCCTTTGTAAGATGCTTCCTAGCTTCTGCAGGTTTTTTTTTTTTTTTTTTTTTTATGGTCTCTTTTTTGCTGTATTTTAAAATCTCCTTTATAAAGGCCACATAATGAAAATTATCCATCAAATCCTTTGTTCCCCTTATGCAATGTTCCATAGAAGTTATGGTTTGTAATTTCTTTTTGTGATATCAAAGTCTAATCAACTTTAGCATAAACCAATGATCAGCCTTTTCTGGGGACAACGGACTCATGGAAACTCCGTATAATAGATTTGACATTGTAAGCTCACACAGCATTTATCACTTATGAAGCTCAAACTCATCACACTGACATAGTGACCACCCTTCGCTAAGCTTTTAATGCTTGCAAATGCTTCTGTCTTGAGCCAGTTATGAACACACACACACACACACACACACACACACACACACACACAGAAAAAGAGGCTAAACTAATCAAAACTTTCTGATTTTGTAATTTGCAGAATAGCCTCTCTGTGCCTTCCATTTTTAGAATGAAAGCTTCTGATTTTTTTGAAACAACAGCCTCCCTGCAGCCCCTCATGAGTCCCTCTTGTTGCTCCACCTGCCTTGAAGCCCTGTGGCTGTCCATGAGCGTGGCGAGAGTCACACTTGAGTGCGCTGACCGCTGCTTGCTCTGGCCCCAGGAACCTCAGTCCCCTTCCAGAGTGGCTTGATGCTCCAGCTCTCGGATGAAAGCTGAGTCAGCCTTCCTCTATAGACTTTTGGGACCAAATAACATCTCCATATTGGCTCATTTCTCAAATGGACAAGATGGAAATTAGACTTTTTCTTGTTTATATATTAACATTTCTCAAGTCTTTTTTTCCTTTCTCAAATTTTAATAGTGCATTTTAATGTGTGGTGAATATAAGAAAAGAAATCCCTTAATCTTAAAAGAAATAGAGCCTTTGAATCTTTTTCTGATTGCAGGGTTCCCAGCAGTGTTTGTTGCAGCCTGGGCCGTGGCGCGGGCAACTCTGGCTGATGCAAGGTGAGTGAAAAAGAAGAGGTAAAGAGTGAGCCTCAGGTTTTCTCAAGATGCACATTTTGTGCTTGGAACTCAAGCTTGATGGCATTTCCCTTTAGGGATGTCATATGTAGGAAATTAACTTGATCTAATGGTAGCCTCTGACATATTCCCAGTAAGCTATCCATCCCAGAGGTCTTGGTATAGACTCATAGACTAGATTAGTATGGTCAAACTCCATGGCTTGTGAAATCAATATGATACAAGGGGAAATTGATGGGTAAGTAAACACACTCAGTATGTGGTGCGAGCAGATGGAAGGACCTGAGTCCTGGGATAGGCAATTAATGGTCTATCTGCCACATCAGCTTTCACCACTGATGGTGTGGTTATGAACACCAGAGATGGGGTTGCAGCAAGGGGACCCATAGACAGAAGGTGCCCGGGGCCAATGACACATACTTGCTGTCTCAGAGAGATGCAGGTGCACGTACACTGGGCCACAGCTGTCGCTTGCTGGGTAGCCAGCTGAACAGCTATGGATTTTATCTGAGATACTTTGACAAAGGATATGTGGGCCAATCAGTGGCTGAATTAAGATGTCAGGAATATTAAGCATTTACTATGTACCCGGGATATTTTGTGCCTCATATATTTGATCTATGATGAATATTTAGTGCGCAGTTGCCACATACATTAGTAATACCTATATTTAATGTACACATGCCCTACTTATTACTTATGTATAGTTAATGAAAATGATGTGTGTCATCCATCCCATTTGTTTTCTATAGTATAAGTAAATATTTTTAAAGAATAAAACAAATGCACATTAAAAGTGGAATCCATCCTAGTGAATCACTACCCACCCCCCACTTGTCTGTGTTTCTCTTTAGGGGCTACATGATTAATGGATACTGAAACATTCACTTTTTCATATTATTTCTATTTTTAGTAATGATGAGTCAAAGGAAGAAAAGGAGAAAGTAGAAAAACATTCAGGTGCCTGCTGTGTGCTCTTGTGGTCAAACTGACTGCTATGGAGTGGTCTGTGTCTCCCCAGGCTTTACCTGTGGCTGCGCTAACCCTCCCTGTACTCAGAGATAGGGTCTATACAGAGGTAATTCAGGTTGACTGAGGTCATAAGGGTGGGGCTCTGATGATAGGATTAGTGTCCTTGTAAGAAGCAACACTGGAGAGCTTCCTGTCTCTCCAAGTGCAAAGTAGAGGTCTTACGGGCACACTGCACGATGGCGGCGGGAAGAGAGGCCTCACCAGAAATGAACTATGCTGGCACCTGGATCTTGGACTTCAGCCTTCAGACTGTGAGGAAATAAATGTCTATTGCTTAAGCCACCCAGTTTGTAATATATTGTAAAGGCTGCTTGAGCAGAGCCATACACTTACGTTACATGAAAAAGTGAGACAGCTTTAACTCAACCTAACTGCCCTTGTGTTGATCATTCTTTTATGTTAACAGAATGCAATTTAACACCCACAGATCGTATACATTTCATGACAGTATATTTGTGTTAGCTCCTGGGACCCTGTCTTTAATTTGAGCCTACGTGTTTGTTTTGAGTTACTAGGTATTTTCTTCAGAAATAATCTGTCTGCTATGCAGTGGAAAAAAAAAAGCCACACTATGTGAGCACGTGGACTGTATAAAGACTCTGTGTCCCTGAAAATCTGGACTCTATAGATCACTATCATCAGGTGCAACCTTCCTACTACTTGCTCCCACATTCCCCGTTCATCAGCTTCCCTCAGTTCCTTAGTATCTTTACATTTTTATTTGCCTGTGTCTCTTCATGCTATTTGGATTTGTTAGCAGTAGTGGGCTGATGTTATCTATATTGTTGTAGTATAGAATTGTACACCTGAAACCTATGTAATTTTATTAACCAATGTCACCCAAATAAATTCAATAAAAAGGAAATAAATTATAATTTCTTCAAAGTTCTATGTTAAAGTTTTAAGTGGAACTAGTTTTAATCAACTCTATGCTAGTTATTCTAGTGAGAGACCTTTGCCATATGCCAGATTGGGTGAGGCTGAATCAAACTTACTTTGAATTTAATTCACTTCAACAAATATTTCTACCTATATGCTATGTATTATGCTAGGCACTTACAATGTAACAGGAGACAAGAGCCAGCTGATCCCTGCCCTTATAGAACTCGAATTCTGGTTGAGTGGGAGGGAAGTAAAAGATGGAAATAACAATTGGGTAAATTACATAGCGTTTTTCATCAAACCCTGCTAAAAACTAACTTCTTTTTCCTTGAACATCATTTTTGTAAATTTTATTTCTCAATCACAGTTATATTCAGTATTAGTTTGTGACTGTTTCAGGTACAGAGTATAGTGGTTAGGCAGTCATATGCCTTACAAAATGATCCCCCTGATATTTCCATTACCCATCTGGAACCTTAAATACTTATTATAATATTATTGACTATACTCCTTATGCTGTACTTTACATCCCCATGATTATTTTGTAACTACCAACCTGTACTTCTTTTTTTATTTGTTGTTCAAGTACAGTTGTCTCCATTTTCTTCCCACCATTCCCCTCCTCCCCCCACCCTACCTGTCCCCACCTCCCACCCTTGATCCTACCCACTTTGGCTTTGTCCATGGGTCCTTGATACAGGTTCCTAGATGACCTTCCGCCTCCTTTCCCCGCCTTCTCCCTCTCCCCCCGCCCCTCTGTCAGTTTGTTCTTTATTTCAATGTCTCTGGTTGTATTTTGCTTGCTTGTTTGTTTTGTTGATTAGGTTCCACTTTTAGGTGAGATCATATGGTATTTGTCTTTCACCACCTGGCTTATTTCACTTAGCATGATGCTCTCCAGTTCCATCCATGCTGTCGTGAGGGATAGGATCTCCTTCTTTCTTTCTGCTATGTGGTATTCCATTGTATAAATGTACCACAGTTTTTTAATCCACCCACTTACTGATGGGCACTTAGGTTGCTTCTAACACTTGGCTATTGTAAATTTTGCTGCTATGAACAGTGGGGTGCATAGGTTCTTTTGAATTGATGTTTTGGGATTCTTAGGGTATAGTCCCAGCAGTGGAATTGCTAGGTCAAAAGGCAGTTCCATTTGTAATTTTCTGAGGAAATTCCATACTATTTCCACGGTGACTGCAGCAGCCCGCATTCCCACCAACAGTGCACTAGGGTTCCATTTTCTCCACAACCTGGCCAGCACTTCTTTTTTGTTGATTTGTTTATGATGGACATTCTGACTGGTGTGAAGTGGTATCTCAAAGTAGGAGGGGTCACAATACCTGATATCAAACTATATTACAAGGCCACTATAATCAAAACAGTCTGGTACTGGTATAAGAACAGACACATAGATCAATGGAACAGAATAGAGGGCCCAGAAATAAACCCAAGTCCCTATGGTCAATTAATATTTGACGAAGGGGACAGAAGCATAAAATGGTAAAAATGGTAAAAATAACCTCTTCAACAAATGGTGTTGGGAGATCTGGACAGCTACATGCAAAAAAATATGAAACTCAACCACCAACTTTTACCATATACAAAAATAAACCCAAGATGGATAAAAGACTTAAATGTAAGTCGTGACACCATAAAAATCCTAGAGGAGAACACACTCTAAGTACATTCTAGCAGCAATATTTTTACTGATATGTCCCCTAGAGCAAGGGACATAAAGAAAAGAATAAACAAATGGACTTTATCAAAATAAAAAGGTTCTGCACAGCTAAAGAAAACCAGCAAAATGAAAAGGGAACCAACTGTATGGGAAAATATATTTGCCAAATACCTCAGACAAGGGTTTGATCTCCAAAATGTATAAAGAACTCACATGACTCCACTCCAAGAAGATAAACAATCCAATTAAAAAATGGGCAAAGGACCAGAACAGATACTTCTCCAATGAGGACATACACGGGGCCCAGAGGCATATAAAAGGATGGTCAGCATCACTAGCTATCAGAGTGATGCAAATTAAAACTAACTTTTAAAAATTAAAGATAATATCATGGATCTTATACAAATATACATGATTACCTAAGATTTTTTAACTCACTAATAAATGATCGAACCATTAAGATGTTATCACTGCTTCAAAGGAGAAATAGCAGAAATAAATTTACAAATAAATTTAAAAACTAATCAACATTAACAAGACCCTAATCAATTATATTCCACCTAACACAGCTAATTTCTATTTCTATGGACAAAAATCATTTGCATTCAGTTTTCTATTACATTCCTATCCATAAGGATCACTTGCATTATTGTAAGTTTTCTTTCCTTTCTTTTTCTTTTCTCTTTCTTTTTGATGTTGAGAGTACATTTATTAAAGCTGTGGACAGTGAAACAAGGAAGGGCCTAGGAAGGAACAACAGGAGAGAGCCAGGCGGGGCTGCTTTTGCTCTTTAGAGATGATACGGGAAAGAAGTGAGCCTAGGCAGGGCTGCGGTCCGCTCACTGGGAAGTCAGAGAAAAGGGGGCCTTGCAGACAAGGTCAGGGGGCGAGCCAGGGCGAGCTGCCTCTACTCATGGCCCCCCTGGTTGCAGGTCTCACGAGGACCCTTAGAGTTTAGGAGAAAGAAAATCCACTCTAAAAGGAGATTGGAGTGGGCATGTCTCAAGGATGGTGAGCCTATTGCAAGTTTTCTACTGCATTCCTTTGGGTAAGAATGATTTGCATTATTGTCGCTGTTCTCTAAGTTGTGGAGTTATAAAATACAATTGCTGTAACTGCTGCAAGCGAGAGGACTTGATCATTCCAATGATACTAAAAATTAAGTGTCAGTTGTGTCACATTTAGAAGACATTTAGCCACATTTTTTTGTGGCTCTGGAAGTGTGGTTTTGATTCTTGTTACTTGGAAATAATTCACCAACATTTATAATACTCTATAGATAATAGTAGGGAAAGCAGGGCCCATTACATTTCCTCTCCTCCCGCCCCCACTGGTTTGGGTGTTTTATAAGATTTAAAAAAATAACTGTTTCTTAAAAGCTTGGGGCTGGCGTTTTTTGTAAACTTAAATTACTGCTTAATTCTCATTGCCTGTTTGCTTTGCCAATTTATTTATTAAAACTCTTTTTCATGTCTCAGATGCTGGGAACTTAGTGCTGGAGATATCAAGTGGATTTATCAAGCCCCAATCTTAGCAGCTATTGGGGTAAGTTTAAAAGCGTGGATAAGTTTTTTCCCCTACTAAAGGATGCATGATTAAACTGCTGCTAAAAGGCAGAGAAAGTTTGTCACTGTGTTTCAGGAAAGTTTAGGAAACTCTCACATTCCAGCAATAGCAGTTGAGAGAATCTAGGTTGGGGATCAGATCCTTTTTCATGGCTGACACTGAGAAATTTATTTGCTGAGATTTCTAACTTGCAAAGTGAAACAGTAAAGTGACTATAGACATTCTGAAAGATTCACTGTTGGTGAGGAAGAAGTACAAGTGATGGCACACTGAATGACTTTGGAAGGAAAGTTAGGTAGGAAAGACCATTTTCATCTCCTTGAACTAAAATTACGACAGCTCCAAAGCAAGAATTCTTAAATATTTTTCCAATATTACCCTATCCATTTAATCTCAAAAATCAGAGTAGACATTCAAGAGCGGCTTTCTGTCTCACTGAGAGTTACCTTTTTGCTGCATTATTACAATTTAGGGCTATCACAATTTCCTTTACAGTAAAGAACCCGCCAGTAAGGCGGGAGATGAGCCCCGAGCCCCATCTCAGCTCTCTGACTGTGGTGTCCCTTCCTGTGAGCTGTTTTTGCCCTGAAGCCAGGAATGATGCTAATGATAACAAACACTGCACAGTGATTACCACCGCTGGGGCTGTTTGAAGTGCTGTACCATATCGATTTTTCTAATTCTCACCATCTCTCTAAATGGGGAAACTGCCTAAGGTCACACAGCTACTAGAAAGTGGTAGAGCTCGAATTCTAACTTTAGGGTCAATGTCTCCGCCCAATGAAGTCCCTGTACTTTTATAATAAAATCAAACACCCCTGATACTCCAGAGAAGACCCTGTCACACACGCCCACTGTCCTCTGCAGCTGCGCCTCGGCTACATTGTTTTCCTTCCAGTTTCTTGAACTTGTCTGCTTCCTGTCCCTTTCATTCTACCCCATACCCATGCAAGACTGGGGTATGCTTCCTTCCACGCCTAACTTCATTTTTTATTTTATTTTATTTCTTTTTTATCTTTATTGTATTTTTTCATTACCATTTGGTCCCCTTATATCCCCATCCTCCCAGCAATCATCACACTCATGTCGGTGTTCATGAGCCCTTTTTCCTTTTTGCTCAATCCCTCCTAACTGTAAATGCCACTTCGCTGTGGCTTTCTTGCGGCCCCCAGTCTGATTTAAGTCACCTCATATAACCTGCAGAACACAATGGGTGTTTTTTTCCTCCAGGTCATTACAGTGTGTAGTGCTTCTGACTGTTGAATGCCATCTTGCCCACTAAATTACAAGGTTAGGTGGACAAAACCCATACTTTTTTCTAAATCGTATTCCTAGCACCTAACAAGTTTCCTGACAAATAGTGGTCATTCAGTAAATACTTATCAAAAAAATGAAACATGCCTCCAAATTAGAAATCCGGGGGAACGTAGGAGGGAAGAAGGGAAATAAGAGCGCAAAGCAAGTATAATTTCTGAACTCTGAGTCCATTTCATGCACCTTTTCATTTTCCTAGAGAAGGAAACTGAAGCCCATGCAGGTAAATGTCCCATGGTTTGTGTGACAAAACAAAGACTATAACCCATATTTTTTGGCCATGTCCATTTCACTTGCATTCTAAAACATGTCAAGATTGTTTTTTGCCCAATAAATTCAGTAAGTAAGTAAGTAAATAAATAAAGATTGTTTCTCGAATTTATGGAAAAGGATCTTTTCATCTTTATGGCACTATTTATAGTGTTTTTATATGTTAACTTTAAGATAAATGGTTTGTTTGTTAGTCTTATGTTACATGTAGCACAGTTTTATGCAACTATAATGGGCTTCACATATAGGCTGTCAAAATTATTTGTCAAGAATTGTAAATATAAGTTGGATCCCTCACTTAATTCTGGCTTTGGAAATTATAATAGTATAGATTCTATTAATATGATTTTTGTGTATTTGTGAGTAAAATCTGATAAAATGTGATCAGAATTTCTAAGCAATATGTGAAGCAAGATAAATTTACAAGAATAAAGACGTTTGTAAAGGATGAGTATTTATAGGTTCTAATTGGAATACGCCATAATAAACTAAATGAATTTTAGGGATAATCACAGACTTTGGCACAAATTTGGAAGGAACCACTTCATTTTGGAACCCCAGACTCTAAACTTGTAGCACTGTTGTCTTCTGTGTTTTGTTCACATGTGTTAAAATTATGTGAAAGAGAACTAGAGCCATTAGAAAATATTAATTTTTTTGTTTTGAAAATAAATCTCTCCAAATATGACTATTAACTATTCACCTGCAACATCTTGATGTTGATTTGAGGGTTATTTTGAAATTCCTCTATGTAACATAAAAATATGAGAGGAATGTTTCCTAAGTGACAACAGAGCATGAGGCATTGTTTGGGTCCTGGGCCTTCCAGAGCATCATTCGAAGGAACGGGATGTTCTGCCCAATGAGCAGGGGAAGCAGCAGGTGGGGCAGCCTGATCTAGAAGTGGTAACGGTGAAGTTGACAGATGCAATACATAGCCTGACCAAGCACTGCCCCCTGAGACAGGAAGACCTGCATCTACACTAATGTCAACTAAGAGAGACTGGAACAATGGAATGGAAATAAAACCACAGATAAGACTATACGCTGGGAAATTGAGCAGACTTGCTCATGAATACTTAGGAGAGGGCCTTGAAGATGCCCAAAATGACGGGGTTGGGGGGTGCAGAGGAGAGAGGTTTGGTTCCAGCAGAAATCTGAGCTCTTGAGTTTATCAGTTAAGGAAAAGAAAAAGGGGAACTCTGTGGTGTTTGTCTCAGTGAGTTGTCTCCTTTACCCTGTGTGACTGTGCTCCATCCGGCCGTCATCCACTGAGAGATGATCAGATGGTCTTCCCTGTTGCTGCTCAGTTTTATGCTCACTAAAAAGTTTTCTCTCTCATTCATTCATTCATTAATTCATTCATTCAATCTAGGGAGAGAGGAACGGAGAGAGAGAAAGAGAGCTGCTTTTGTTGTTCCATCCATCCATGCTTTCCCTGGTGGATTCTTGCAGAGCCTCAAATGGGGCTTGAACCTGCCACCCTGGCGTATGGGGACCAGACTCCTGCCAACCTGGCGTATATGGAGCCACAGGGCCAGGGGAAAAGACTTTTCTTTTGTCCCTTGACAGAGTTAAATCTTTTACTTTCTATTCATTATTTGATGATGAATAGATATTTTGGGGTGCCTTTTTGCTTCAGGACTGTTTCAGAATCTTTTTTTGTATTAACCCTCAAGCACCTTGGAGGTGGTTCTTTTCATTAATCTCAGTTTTAGTCCAAGAGAAGTTATATAACCTGCTTAGGGTTAGACACTTAGAAAGTGCTGAAATGAGGGTCAAACCCAGGGGGTGTCGTTCCAGAGCCCACAGTTTTTACTGTTTATGGTGACAGGATTTAAGCTGGGCCAATGTTTCCCAAGGGGGGTCACACACTTGTCACATGAGAGAATTTAGGTAGTACGTGCAAGGTCATTAAGTAACATTACGTCTTATATTGAGAACATTGGTCCTTTCCAACCCTTCTGAACACATGAAAGAGAAATGATCGTTTTGGTATATTCTTATTTTTAGATATTTCTTATGACTCACAGCACTATTGTGTACCCATGTTAGGAACTAACCTGTTCAACATATAGTTAGTGGTGTGTGTCATGGGCTTGCTCATCTTATGAATAATGACCTAGTTTGAATGACTAACCAAGTAATGGCTTCAGAGGAGAGACTGCAAGCCGCTTAGAGTGCATTAAATGGAGGCCTCCAGATTTTCAGTGTTTTTTCTTGTAAATGATTTTTTCCCCCAAATACCTTTCCGAACATCTGAGGGGATTCCAGAAGATGGAATAAGGTGATGAAAAGCCTTTAAGAAAAAATTTAAGGGATACATTTTAAAATACATCCAGTGCATTTTGTAAAATATGAAAACAAAGAAACAACCCAGATCTAAGCTTCTTTGCTGCTGTTGAGTCGGTGATTCATTTCCCTCACTTGTAATTAAAGGAGGCTCAATCATGAGAAACAAGGTCTGGGGGTAACACAGGGATAACTGGTAAGGGAGGAAAGTAAAATGGAGAAAATGTAATCTTAGCCTTTGTCAGAACTGCAAATACCAAATCGATTTCTTTCTCAGAGGAAGACTGCCACTCAAGAATCCCTTTCCTCTTTTTCAATCAGCCCCATTTAGAACTTCAAATGAAAGTAAAGCTTCAACATTATACATAGATGCTGTCCCGAGTTACAAACTGGGTCCTTGCCCCCAGTTCCTATAGAAAGTGTGCAGTTGGTGAGAGGGGCTCAGAGGCAGGATGGCAAACACGGCGGTGGGGCCTTCAGGCCTGACGTCGATGAGGAGCTGGGTCAGGGAGTGGGGCGCGTGAATCGCCCAATAACCGAAAGTTCTTCAAATCCCAGAGATGACCGAGGACTGCAAGACAAGGTACCCCCACGAGCACAGCCCTGGCTGGGTCCTTCCCTGTGGCTGTGGCTCTGGCACCTGCACAAGCCTTCTCTTGGCAGCCCACATGCCCTCTAATTCTAAGGACTGGCGCTTTGTGGGCTGCAGACATCTTCCTGAGGGAAGGACTCAAGGGGGCAGGCGTCCGCTGGCTGTGATCCCAGGCCTGGAGGCGCTGTTCTTTTTCTTCATTTTGAACCTCTTCGCTGATCCTTGAGGCCCTCACACATAAAAGGCTTATCCTACTAATAACTTCCCTCCATTTTTAAACCCAGAACTTGATTGTCCCTGGTGGTACCTACACTTATAATATTTCCAATTGAATTTAATTGGCTGTGGTGGCGGGGGAAGGTGCTTTTCTTATACAGCATCTTATTTACCTTAGTGTGTGTGTGTGTGTGTGTGTGTGTGTTTCACCTAATATTTTTCATATGTTATGAGAGAGAGAGAGAGCATACCCTAAACAACTCTATTATCTCTTTCTCTAAGACAGAGACAGAAGCTGGGACTTCATTTTAATAAGGCCATTTGGTTATATTTATACAATAACTATTATCCTTTGCCTTGCCAGTTTGCCATAGGACTTGATCTATACTTTGGTTTGGAAATTCCCTGTGGATTCTGGCAGATCACTCCCTGGTATTTCTAGCTTCAAGGGCTATTGAAGCTTTTTATTCTTGTGTCTTCATGAGGGCAAATCAAAAGTCACTAGCTTTCCAATATCTTATCTCAAAGTCCCTCATTGACACTTATAGAATGGGTAATTTTCATTCTTTGAATAAAAAGGTCAATTTATATAAATTTTATAACATCTTGAAGACAAACTCAATAATTCTTTGTAATCTTACTTTCTCTTTCAGCTGAACTTTATTCTGTTTCTGAATACGGTTAGAGTTCTGGCTACCAAAATTTGGGAGACCAATGCAGTTGGGCATGACACGAGAAAGCAATACAGGTAATTGTAGCACAGGCATCCATCCACTGGTCATTATTTAGTGTAAATAACAGATATAGATTGACCTGAAATGTTTCTAAGATATAAATTTATGAATCTGTATTTTTGTTTGGTTCAATTTTGATTTATTAGAAAAGATATATATATAAAAAATTCGGAAAAGTATTAAAAAATATTTTTCTTCATGTGAGGACTTTTTTTTAAATTGCCTTTAGAGAGAGAGAGGAAGGGAGAGGAGAGAGAGGGAAGAGAGAAACAACATCAATTGGTTGCTTCCTTGTATGTGCCCAGACCACAGACTGAACCCACAGACTGGGTATGTGCCCTGACCAGGAATTGAACCTGCCACCATTTGGTTTATGGGACCATGCTCCAACCCGCTGAGCTACACCAGCCAGGGCAGAAACAATAACTAACCCCAAACTTTTCCAGTATACTTAAATTTGTAGTGTGTGTGTATATATATTTGTTATTAGCAGATTGGGATTTCCCTATAAACTATGTGATGCTGTCTCAGACACAGAAAAGAAGAAGTGATAGTCGGTATTTTGATTCTGTCTCACAAATGTTCTTTAGGTCCTCTGTTGAATTATTCCCCTTCAGCATTTAGGCAGTATTTACCTTTGGGCTGAAAAGACAACTGTAGACCGGAGCCTAGAGTAGGACATGTAGTATGAACAAACCAGCAGCTGCTAGCTCATTATTTTCAATGTACTGTGAGTGATAGTGTTATAATATAAATTGTGCATAAGAGTTGACAGTGAAGGACCTTTCCTATTCTAATAGAGCTTGTCTCATATTACATCCCATTGGTGAAGACAAAGGCCAAAGGATGATAGAACAATGTAAAATATAAGTAAACTTTCTTCCTCAGAAAATGAAAAAGTGCAACAATGTTGGAAAGCTGCTTATTTCTCTAGTTCTGAATAAAAGCGACTTATTTCTATAGTTCTAAATGGCATGCACTTGTATTTTCAGAAACAAAGTTGCCCAAGAGATTTGAGAAATTCTGGAGAGGACAAAGGGCAGATTATCTTAAAAATAGGATAGACAGTATTTTGAGTTTTTTAATGGGGATTATTTCTCAGAAATAGTTGAAGAGAATAATTTACCAAGGATTGAAATAATCTACTATTAAGAACTCATAATTAATTTTAAATAATCTGGTGCCCAGAAGTTTCTTAAGTTTGAAATGATTAATTAGAACATGATCTAGAATAATAGTTGCCAGGGAAAGTATTTTTCAGCCAAAATACATTTTGTCCCTAGAAGAAACATAATTAGAATTTTTAACAAAGTTGATGGGAAAACTAATTGAACAGCAATAAAAAAAAGCCAAGGTTAAGCTACAGATAAAAATGTAGTGGGAAATGACTTTCTTTTTGGAGAGAAAAATGTGGGAACCTACTTGACAGGGATTTGGGAATTCAATTCAGTATGTAGGTTCTGAGGCCTCTGGTTCAAATGGCTTCTGACTTTTAAGCAAAGACACTTAGGAAAATGTAACCTGTGTTCTGGCCTGGTGATATTCCTCCTAGGAGGCTTAATTGAGTATTTAAATTTACACTCTTATTTTTGTACCTTTAAACTTATATTTTATTTGGTTATTATCTTTGTCAAACAAATATTCAAACATCTTTGTTAAAATGAAAAAAATTTGTCTCCAAATTGTGGCATCTAAAAACATTTTAAAACACATTTCCTTGCATATTACTGTCTAGAAGACTGAAAAGAGAGTCTCTCCAGGTGAGTTTGCCCACACACAAAGACTTATGAAAAGTATGTGTTATTACTTCATTGATATAGTGGCTTAAAATTGAAATGAATTAATTCAGTTAGCTTTAAAAAACTTTTTACTTTGAGATAATTGTGGAATTACATGCAGCTATAAAAATAATAAAGAGAGATCCCAAATGCCTTTTACCTAATATCCCCTGAAGGTGACATCCTGCATAATAGTAATTTACAGTCACTTATTTTAAAACAAGGTTGATGTGAAGAAATTAGTCGATCAGATTTAACAACAGAACTAATACATTTTTCTCTTTTAAATTACAACTCAGTTCTTTTGCAAATTAAGTAAAAATTGCCAGAACTAGAAGAACATGAGAGCTATGAAAAATGCAAGATTCAGTGGAAAAGAACATTTGAATGTTTTGGCTAATTTGACTTCCCATTTACTAGTAGACAAAAATCATATTTAATATTTATATTTTTGAATAGGTTCAACAAATATTTGTTATGCACTATAATAGTAAAAAGGACAGTTTTAAAGTTGAATCTCCTACTAACTGTAACTTTGGATGAATACTTTCCTTTTTTGAGCCTCTCTCTTCACTTGGACATGGAATCATGAAAGTTATCTCACATGATTCTTGTCAGAAGAGAAAGACTTGATAGAGATAAAGATAGAGATAGAGAAAGATACATGTATAGAAAAGAAAGAAAGATTAATTCAAGGCCAAGAGAGATTGAAAAAGGAAGAAACAGTATTTTTTTTAAAAGCTAAGTTGACTTTTAAAAGATACAGAGAGTTTTCAGAACTTTTTATCCTGGGAGAGATCACCTATGAAGAGATATTGCAAGAATTGGGTATCTGTTTTCTACATAGCACACTGAGCCTAACAAACCATTTGACTTTTTTGTATTCTACTCATGGCTTTGTCCTTGGACCCAGAGCCACCACCATGTTTCTGGCAAGCCAGAGGCCACTTTCAATTTTTCATCCCTGAGTCATCTCATTAGGCAGCTGTGCCTTTTCAGAGAGCCAAACTGCAAAGATACACAGTGTGCACTTGTGACCAGATGGACCCTGAACCGAATCAGTGCCCAGGATTACTGGATGATTTGGGAAAGGTCATCTCCATAAGTGAATAGACAGACAGACGGCCCATTATACATTGGCCTGGGATACACCACGACTCTAACTTGTCACTGTCTTTGAAGGATCCATTTTAAAAGAAGATGTAATCATAACTCTTACACAGATATAAAGGAACACATTTTGAAGATTTTTATTTAACTCATTAATGAAGGAACTGTAAGATATTATATATGTTTAAAAGAGAATAATGAAGACTAAAATGGATTTGACACATGGATGCGAATTAGCAAAACGTGTCCATATGCATAGGGCTATAACTAGTGGCATTCCATTGGACACAATTTCCATTTCTGCAGACAGGGATTGTTTGAACTGCTCTGAGGGGCAGATTTAGGTTACATTATACGGCAAAGTGACATAAGATTGCATGCCGGCAGCCTGGAGAGAGATTTTCTGGCTGGCTTTGAAGATGTAATCTGCAACCTGACATGTGGTGAGAGTCCATGGCTGGGACCTGAAAACAGCCTGAGGGAAGTCTGTACAACTGAGAGCCCCCTGGCCAACAGCCACCCTACAACTGCAAGGAACGGGGCTCTGCTAACCATCTGAATGAACCTGGGAGAGAACCCTGAGTCCAGATGAGAACGCCGCCCTGGCCAACACCTTCATGCCTGCCTGCTGATACCCCGAGCAGAGGACCCAACTACGTTGAGCTTGGCCTTGTGGCATAGAGAAGCGGAGGTCATAAATGGGTTTGATTTAAGCTACTAAATTTGTGGTAATTTGTTACATAGCAATAGAAAATGAATTCAAATGCTGTCTGTTTTCTACAAATTGACTTTTAGCTCTAGAGGGTTGTAGAAGAGTCTGGTCATGGACAAAGAGAGAAAACCCGGATGGCTGAGGTAGCAGCATGACTACTAAATTTTAGTTCTCTGACAGCTTTTTCTTCCTCTGCATTGAACCAAACTGTTCCTAAACTTTTACTAAACTTTTGAGCATTTTACAGTGTGTTTCTCTGCTTTATTTTTTTTGCTTTAACCTAGTTTTTGGCTCCTGCATACACACCATAGGAAGTAAGTTAGCTTGATTTGAAAATAGTTTCTGGGTGGCGGGGGCGGGGGGACAGTTATCCATTCATGTTAAAGGAAGAAACACGATTTTCTTTACAGTGTGACATTAGACAAGACTTCCAATGTTCTGCAACTGTAGAACCTACTGTCCCCCTTTATCTGATTGAATTGCATTAAAATGCCATTGAAGGTATTCAGTGTGTCCTGCCCATGAATGCAGCGATGGAAAGAGGGTGCTCTTTAGTCAGGATTCTGGAGGAGGACAAGCATATCCCAAGGAACCTCTGAAAGTTGAAAGGATTAGTTAGGTCAGAGAAACCCATTGTCGTATCAGGAATGCTGCCTTGAATAAAATGGACTTAAGGTAGGATTTTCAAATTCAGTGGACTCTAGCTGACTCAAGGTATGAGATATGAGGACTAGAAGCAGCACAGGGGAAAGCCCACAGGTTAGGGGCAAATTCTGGATGGGAGGCCGAGCAGATGGCCTGGAGCCAAGAGGAGCAGACAGTCCAGGTACTGAAGAGAGCTAAGAGAGGCAGAGGAGAATGAGGCGGAGCAATGTGCAACTCCAAATGTCTAAATTTGGCATTTCAATGTGAAGTACACAAGAAAATGTATATAAAAAGGCAGTTAAAGTACATAAAGTAAAATTGATTAGCTTTCAACCCCCGCAACCCCAAAATAAAATATAGAACTATAGACAATTTGAGATAGAATATTTGATATAGACAGTTTAAAGAATGTGACTACACGTAGCTCCTAAGAAAATGTGAAATGATAAATGGAGACCCAAGTGTAAGAAGAAACTAGGGAATAGTTGATTTTAAAATGAACAAAACAAGCCAACATGCTGCTCATGAAAGTAAAGAGGGTTACTATAAATGGAGGTAATACTTACTTAAATCTCTATGTTATTTAACATAGAAGTTAAAGAGGATTTAGCATTGGAAAGAAAGAAGGCATTTCACGGCTTTATGAAAATGGTGTCCTTTAGCAAGAAGAGCAGAAATGAGATTAGAGAGACTTAGGGGATAATAATCATGGGAAGTGAGAATAAACTACCTGATTTAGTATAACAGTGGCAAGAAGAGAAGGGAGGGGAAAACTAGCAGAAGCCATGGGACCTAAACAGATGGGAAAAGTGAGCCCCCGTTAGCTTTGCTAAGCTTGATTTTGTTCCAGCAGCTGTCTCTGTGGAACGGCACTCTAAATTGATTCATAAAAAGGCTTTGCACTCTTGCAGGAAACTCGCCAAGTCGACACTGGTCCTGGTGCTGGTCTTCGGAGTGCATTACATCGTGTTCGTGTGCCTGCCCCACTCCTTCTCGGGGCTCGGGTGGGAGATCCGGATGCACTGTGAGCTCTTCTTCAACTCCTTTCAGGTAGATCGCCATCTAGTAACTTGGTTCTTGCATTTTGCTTTTTCTGCCCCTACCCCTGGCAGCCTCTTCCTCTGCCCCTCTCTGGCTTGCAAGCACCGGTCGGCCAAGGGCCATGAGAGGGCGCTATTTTCTGGCGCCTGTGCTTTTCCGAAAGAGGTCAGGTCAGCCTGTGACCATAGTAGGAGCTATTCCTCACAGACAAGGCTGGGTAGCGAGAAAGTATGTTTTAAACTGTGCACCATCGACAGGATAAGTACCTCTTTGTGGGTTAAAAAAAAAAAAAAAAAAAAAAAAAAAAAAAGAAGGCTGGGAAGAGGAAATAAAGGAGACAAAAAGAGAAAGAGGTGGTTTCCACATTTTATCTTGTTTGAAAATAAAACTGTACTTGGTCACCCGGATTACTGCAGGCGCCTCCTGTCTGTCCTTCCTGGGTAGGCATTTGCTGCCACCTCCTGCCACCCTCCATCTCGTCTCTATACAATAGTCTGAAGAACTTAAAAAATAAGTTTGATCATGCCACTTTTCTGACAGAAGTATCCAGAGGCTTCCTACTGCACTCAGAGTAAAATCCAAATGCCATTTCCTGGTGTGCAAAGCCCTGTCAGGGTTCCTCAAGCTCTTTCTTGCCTCAGGGGTTCATACTTGCTGTTCTCTTTGCCTGGGAAGTTCTTCCCCTTAATATTCCTAAGGCCTAACTTGTTCTTGTCACTCAAACTAGCTTAAATGTCACCTCCTCAGAGAGGTCTTCATTGAGTTTCTCACCTAATACATCTTTCTTCTCTGTCAACATGACTTGTTTTGCCTGCATGCCCTTATCATTGTACATTTTCCTCATGTGGCTATTTGTTTATATTTTATTCATCTGTATTTCCTTCTAGAATGTAAGGTCTAAGAGAACAGGGACTGTGTCTGTCTTGATTGAACTGTTTATGCCTGGCATGCTGAACACTTTGCATTGTATAAGCTCAAAAAATATTTTTGAATGAATGAAAAAAGTTTTTTTTATTTTTATTTTTTACTGTACAATACCCCATGTCCGTAGTTCCCAGCATTCACAGTGTATAAATATCTCTTTCCAGTCAGGGGATATTCAGTGACTCTTGAGCAACAACATAAATGAAACTAATAGAAGAGAAATCAGTTCTTTGTGTATCTTGGCATGTTTTATTCAGTCACTTGCTTGGTTCAGCTGACACCAAGGAAAGATTGCCGACAAATTTAATGTAAACTTAAGGACTTGGAAACGTTAGGAGAGAATAATACGTAAGATTTTCTGAAAGACCCATTTGACGCAAGCCACTGTAGTGCCGTGAACTTGATGGATGGTCAGCACCTAACATCCTTTTTTGTTCCCCAGGGTTTCTTCGTGTCTATCATCTACTGCTACTGCAACGGAGAGGTAGGTTTACGGAAACGCCAACATCCCACAGGTCTCCTCCATCACAGTATGACTGAAGCTCTTTGGGATCCCCGGGAGTTACAGGACAAAACGGGCAGGGAGAAGAGAGATGTTTTAATCACAAATTATTTTGAGAAAGCAAGCATTAATTTCAATAAGCTAAGGTCAATTCTTTTATAAACGCTGACATCAAAAAAACAACTCATTGAATGCAAATTGAGACTTGGAAGGACAGTGGACTTCATATTCCAGTTCATGCTTAAACTTATGAATCAATTTCAAGTTCTATGAGAAACTCAAATATGTATTCTTGGGACAAATCCATGAGAACATTTTGACATTTTTAAAACTACAAGATGGTGGTGGGACAATTTCCATTCGTTCAGGAGTTGGCTGGAGAGAAATAATGGAACTGTTCTTTTAGGTGACATGGGCTCACCAGGTTTCCACTCTCCCGCGGAGCTTCCAAATAAGCTTCCTTTGGGAAAGTGGCAGGAGCAGTGGAATTGAATCTCCAGCCAAATGAATGGAAACAAGAGCCCCGCCCTGTTAAGAATACATTTGTAGTGTCTGCTCTTCAGTGTCCAATCCTCTGCGCCGTGTTCCTCCTTCATATGCCCAGGGAAGGTGATAAGAGCCACATCTCAGGCTGAGTTCCTGTCATGCCATTCCTCAGCCACAGCTGTCGCTATTAATCTTTCTCCTTCCACCCAAGTCCTCTTTTCCCTCTTCCACAAGGCAGATATTTCTGTTGGCTGTGTTTCAGCCTCTATTAAAATACTAACCTTGGACAATTCCCTTACCTTTCTGGAAGCCTCAGTTTGCTCATTTCCATTAATAACAGCTACCTTGCAGGCGTTTTGAGACTGAGAGAGAATATATATGCAAAGTCCCTGGCTCACATCGGAGCCTTAGTTAATGATTATTACGGTCCTTGAAATCGGGGCAAACACTCGTCTGACAAAGCTGCAGGGTCTCCCTTACGGTTTCTGATGCACGGGTTCTTGCGGTTTAGGTTCAGGCTGAGGTGAAGAAGATGTGGAGTCGGTGGAATCTCTCTGTCGACTGGAAAAGGACGCCCCCATGCGGCGGCCACAGATACGGCTCTGTGCTCACCACCATGACGCACAGCACCAGCAGCCAGTCGCAGATGGCGGCCAGCGCTCGCCTGGTGCTCATCTCCGGCAAAGCAACCGCGGCCAAGGCGGCCAGCCGACAGCCCGACAGCCACGTGACTTTACCAGGCTATGTCTGGAGTAACTCAGAGCAGGACTGCCTGCCACACTTGATCCAGGAGGAGACCAAGGAAGGTAACAGGAGGCAGGGAGTTGAAACTCCAATAGAGGTGTCTTCCAGACCATTGGAATGTACCTCAGACCCTGAAGGAAGCAAAGGAGAAGCAGAGGATGTTCTCTGAATCAACATCTGTGGCTCGATAGAGCTGTTCTATCTGGTTGTTCAAGAGCTGATGGTCCAAGAGGTTGGCTGTCACTCATCCTCTTGAGCCTCAGAGCTGAAAATTCAGGGGTAAAGTGTTACTTTACAACAGTTTCAGGCTCCATGAATTGGCTCCTGTAAATACTAATGATACAAAAGAAGTGTCAATGGCGGAGTTTGTTACTTTATTTTGGCATTAGATTCTCTTCTAAATTGATGTGTGATACTTGCTCTGTGAGTGTTCATTTTTTTCTGCTACTTTTGGGTAGAAAATGTTTTAATTGCTTGGTTTGTGTTTTCTCTTATAAATACCATTCTAAGTATGACAGAGGCCATTTAGTAAGGGTCAGCTTCCTCTTAGGAAATTAGTATTCTCTTTTCCTCTTTCTTACTTGAATGTACTTCTATCCCTGCACTCATTCTGTCTGTGTGTAAGAGCAATAAGGGTCTGAAAATGTATGGTGAAAGATGGAAGGTCTAAGAACAAGTACACACCGGGACGTAAGTTAGCTGGGCTTCGGAAAGATAACACACTGGCGACAGCTAAACTTGTTTCTTTCTAAGAACAAGAAAATTACTTTAAAAAGAACATTGCACATATTCCTCCTTTTGAATGTCCCCCTCTGTGACCGGCCATATCTCAGGTCTTCACTCCTTTGTAAACTTTAACCTATCATAAGATTTTCTGTCGATGAGCTTGTGTCTGCAAACTAACCCTGTTTGTAATCATCTATATTGATTGTGAGTCACATGTACCTGTGCTTTTTTTCCTTCTTTGTTCTACTCTATTCCAAATGGCATGTGGGATAAATTAAAAGTTTGTTTTAAAAATACATTTTGGGTCACTTTTTAAGATTTTTCTCTCGAGCATCTGCGTTTGTTTTTGGCAACTACGCAAATATGTCCCTTCTCCACATCTACAGAGATTAACATGTAGCTCCAGTACTTTTCTGAACTTGAAATTTCAGTATGCTGCAGTGGTAAAACATTTATTGAGTACATCCTGCTAGGTGTTTATAGGCACTAAGCTTATTTAGTCTTCACTACAAACTTATGGAATAAATCTTATCACTGTCACTCTTTTTTTACAAATGATACCGTGACTCACAGCGGTGCAGTAACTTGCCCAAAGTCGCACAGCTAGTCATTGGCAGAGCATGGTTTCAGACACACATCTACTGACTTCAAGTCCCATGTTCTTAACCATTATGCTATACTGTCACCAATATAGCGTCATCCATTAACCACTCAAAAAATTTGACTGAATTCCTTGTGCAGAGAGTGCTTCCAGAACTCTTACTATGTGTTAGTCTCAGACCCTCATGAAGTTTTCACTCTAGTCGAGGGAGACAGATACACATAGGAACTGAAAATATCACAGAACAGTGCATTTGCAGACGGAATGACACTGGTCCAACTGATCTATCTCATTTTGCTAAATGATTTTACCAACATGCAAATAGTGTCATGGTAAGTAAGGTACTCTGATGGCTACACATGCTCTTAACACCTATTACACCCTTCCTGCTCTTTCCTTCCTCCCTCCTCTGTGTCACAGTGCAGGTTTTTTCCTTCCCCTCCTATTTAGGAAGACACCGCTGTGCATATTTAATGAATCGGACTCACCTCTATGTGATGACGCCCCCTGCTGCCTCCCTGTTAGGAGGGGGCCGTCGTGGGCTGAGCCGGAGGTTAAGTGCAGCTCTGTTGCTACTTTTGCACAAGGCTTTGTAAAATCAGTTAATTTCCTTTATAGTTCATGGTCTTTAAAATGAAATAATATCTGTCTACCTTCAAGAGATGATCTGATGATAAGAGAAATCACATATTGAAAGGACTATGTAACATAAAAAGTTCATACAAACACTTGCTTTGGGTTGCTGTTACATCATTATTTTCAATTTAACTCCTTTTGCCCCATTGTATTATAAAAGGCCTAGTTGGTAATTGCAACATAATAATTGTTAGTCTTATCTATCTATCTATTTGATAATATGGAAAATATTAAGGGTTTTTACTTTCTAAGGCAACCTTCAATTCTAAGGCTAGACCACTACTTCTTTACATTAACAAATATGAATAATGCCCTCAGAGCTACCAAGGTTTTCCTTAAAGTTTAGTCATTCATTAATTCAACAAACTTTTACTTTGAGACTGTTATGTGACAGACGCTATGCCATGTGCTGGGGCAACACCAAAAAATAAGGCATGATCTGTTCCCTCAAGAAACAAAGAACACCTCAGTTGCTAAGGCTCTTGATCTCATCTGTGTACACACATTTTTTTCTTCTAGGTTTTGATGATTTTTTGCATCCGATTAGACAGCTAAGACAGTAAGTTATACTACTCTTTATATTTTGTCAAGTAAAATATCTGGCAGTTATCAAGGACTGGCTGACCTAGATCCAAAGGTGCAAGCCACTGGCTAAGAAGCTAAGGTCGGTCTGTTACTGTGTTTTATTGCTCTGTCATTGGATGACAACAGTCGGCTGCTGCAACTAAGGGGTGGCTGGTGGCTGGCCTCTTCAGATGGGGCAAAGGGGCTCAAATATGCACAGTGCCTTTCTAGCCACGTCCAGTTATTTCTGTTACCTCTCTGGGCTCCATCCCCTGAGGTAGACAATGTACTTACATAGAACCTTAACACATTTTTCTAAAATAGTCTTGGGGGGGTGTGTGTGTGACATTCTATATAATTTAAATTTTTCTCTCAAGCATCTGAGTTTGGTTCTAATGAGTTAAGTGATGAAATATTTTTTATATGTAGCGGTATTTAACTTAAGTTTGATCTAATACAAATATTCTGTTTAGATGAGTCCACTAAGAGAAAAATCCATCGCGCCATGTCTGTGCGCTCACTTCCCACGCATACTATTCAAAGATTCACTTTCTAAGTCATCACTCTGAGGAACTTACTGCTAATACAATAGATACTTTCCCCTTTGGAAATAGAGCAATTTCTAGATGCAAAATGATAAAATCATATGATAGGTTCCAGAGAGTGTGTGAAGACAGTCTTATAAGGCTTGTTGACATGGATATTATGTTTTGATACCCTGTTTCTCTTGGAGCCGAGAGGAAGCCTGACATCAGTGTTAATCCATTTTCATGACCTCATGTAATCAGTTCACATAGCTCTCACTGTCATGGCATTGCCTCTTTCGGCTCTTGTTAAATAACACGAACACCTTTGTTTTACAGGCTCAAAAGTTGTTGAAAAAAAATACGCCTTTGTTTTTGAATCATTGGAAGAAAATGAATAAGGTATGTGTGAGTTGCAGTATATTATTTACCCTCAGAGATTAATGTCATATTATTCAGAGGTGATCTCTTTTGGAGATTATGGTAGAGAGAATAATGTAGCCCTCTCCCCTCCCCCAGAACTGGTGACAATGTTAGATGACTTGGCAAAGAACAAGGTTGTAAGTGGTAACCTTAATTGGTTACGAATCAGGGAGACTATCCTGGGTTATCTGGGTGGGCCCAGAGCAGTGGTAACAAAGGTCCTCAGAAGTTGAAGGGGAAGGCAGAAGAGGAGATTAGAATGACGTATAGGACGGCCACTTGTTGCTGGCTTTGATGATGCTGGAAAGGGCCATAAACTGAGAGTGTAGCAGGCAGGCTCGGAAACTAGGAAAAGACAAAGAAATGAAGTCTCCCCTAGAGCCTCCAGGAAGGAAAACAGCCCTGTCGCGTGAGACCCTTGTTGAACTTCTAACTTACAGAACTGTACGATGATATATTAGTATTGTTTTTAGCCACTGAGTTTGTGGTAATTTGTTATGACATCTATAGAAACCTTTTTCAGAGATTTGTATTGATTGCCTATATAGAAAGAATTGCAACAGTTGATTAATTAGGTTATGTAATCATTTTTATCTGGTTGCTTCATGGAGATTAATTCTTTAGCTAGTGTTTATGGCATTTTATGTGCTGTGTTTACATGAAGGGGTGTTGTCTAACTTGCCACTTAACTATATTCCACAGTCTTACCAGCAGTTGTTTCCTTTTAGAAATGTATATATTTACATGGTTTATATTTACATAAAATCTGTGAAGGACATTCTCATGTTTTCTAAAGAGTCACTCAATATCTTGTTTTACGAGTTGGATTTCCATCTCTTTCTCTCATTAAGCCTGTTTTGCCTGTGTCTTCCACTCTCAGGCTCTCTCCCTAACACACACGGGCAATCAGTTATTCAGGAAAGCTCTTACCTGCTCATCCTGGGATGTTCTAGGCTGAAGAGATGGCCTCACTGTGGGTTGGTTAGGAATAACATAGGTAAATAACTGATGTATACCCACTTTGTTTTAAGAATTGAGCTCAGTATTTTCAGCATATTGTCATATATTCATAACACAGTATGATGTAGTTATTGCCATTTTACGAAAATATTGAGACAATTAGAATTTAGATGATTTGCTCCAGGTCAAAGTGACCGAGCCATGATTAGAACCTAGTTCAGTTTGACTCCAAGGCCCCTGATTATTTTCTCACTCAAGGCCCTTTGTACTTTCTTTATCAAGAGCCTAATTGTATAATAAATCAATGGGGAAACAAAAAAGAACTAGTTCCAACTATTTTGGTAGTAGAATTAGCAATAGTTATGGGAATATAAAACATAGTAGCATGATTATAGTTTTGGATTAAAGTGTTATCTGCCAGTATTTCATGAATATCCCAATAAAGAAAAACTTTTAAATCTAAACTCTTCTTTTAATTTTACCCAAAATATCTGAAGAGATATAAAGATCTAAGTCCTGTTCTTAAGCTGCCTCATGAGACCATGGAAAATTTGCCCACATATTGTTGCAAAAATGACTTCAGACAACTTTATCTTTAGATTACTCATCTTTGTGGCATTTAAAGATAGCTTTTATGTAGGTTTCCCTTTATTCACTATTACAAAAACCACTCAGCAATGGAAGTATCTATAAATGGTGCAGAGCCAGGCAAAATGGTAAACATTCTTATCTGTC